ATACATGTGTATTTCAGACTAAACCTATTTTTGAAAAGAAATTCCATATGAACACCGCTTGACACCCTGTGCACAAACCCTATGAGATTGGTCTTAAGTGAATACTTCAATATTTTCACTGCTGAATTTCACTTATTAGTTAGGACAATTCTTTGATTTCTGATTGATAATACATGTACATACCATAGGTCACTGCAGAGGAAAATGTGTGGCATCTGCATATGGAATTCTTTCCCTATTTTTGTAATGGTTTGTGGCTTTGGCAGATTTTATTAAGGCAAATACAGCCTGAGGTTATGTAAATGTAAGTTGTGAATACAACTGTACATGTACATGTATATACAACCATAGCCATAAGAAACCAAAGCTTTATCACTATAAACTGAAGTTCGAAAGTTTCTGACAGTCCGAATCTCCCAAAATACACAAACTCACACTGCATGTTCACTTCTTTCACTTCCATTGTTCCATTCATGCTACTTGCTAGGCTTATCAAGGACGTGTACTTTCAGGGAATCAAACATGTATATTTAAAAACTAAATTACGTGATATAACTACGCCATGCAGGTCCTACCATATTATGAACTGATATTTTTAGTGAGAACCCAACCAGCCTAGAGTTAAAAGAGTTCACTTGTAGAGTCCTAATTACTCTGACTGCTTTTGAGGCACTTAAAAAGTTGAAAGATAAAGAAACCACTACATGTACGTGTAGGCCTACACGTAGCGTGGGTTACTTTATTATCGTGGTAGTTATCACGTTTCCCGATCGAAATAAAGATTGCTTGCTCGCCTTCCTGAATTATCCTATCCTTGCTGTCGTTTAACTTTTTCAACTTGACTCATAAAATTTTGTTTGTGGTCTACAGGTGGAGTCTCTTTTGTTAATGCAGTGTAGAGAAATGGTTTCTACGATGGCCTTTAGAGCACTTTGTTTACAAATGAATAAATGAAAATAAACAGAATGATTTACCACACCAATCATTTCACTAGACAGTCGATTACACTCTGATCACCATTAGTTACACGTACACGATAACATACATGTACATGTAAGCCTAAAGCTGGTTAGACAGTGTGATGATTATACATGTAGGCCTACTCTGCAAATGATTACCCCCAAAACTGTGGGGTCCGACATCCGCCCTGCTTCCACATGGAAGCAGGGTGGACCTTGGGGTTAAAATGTTGCATCCCGACTCCACTTTTCTCATCATACACTGTATATCATCTCAATAAAAGTCAGTCGTTACAGAAATGCTGGAAAGACACGAATTCTGGACTGAGAAACACTTACCGATGTTGTTGGGAGATACTTAAAAAATTCTCTTCACTCCTCATAGGCTTTGTACACAACTGCTGAAGTGGAGTCAGGATGCAACATTTTTTCGGACGTCAAACCCCACAGTTCTGGGGTAGCAAATGATGCATTTCATCATGTGGCACTTTTAATTTTTCACATCTTTTTCCACTCCAACATGTCCGAGTAGGACTACATGTAGGACTTAGCAAACTGCTATGAACGAAAGCACAGGCATGATCCAGGCATCACTAGACACCCTCCCTGTGCACAAACCCTGGCCTGAAAATTCTCTTTCACTTTCTAAATAAATGTTTTAATATGCTCCCTGCTAAATTTGACCTTTCAGGTATGCTACTGTTCGCACTTTCTGATGCCTAGTAGTAGTATCACTGTAACTTGCAAGGGGAACGAACAGCGTCAAGGAAAATTAGCGTGATTGGTACTACCCATGGTGATGTTCGTATGTAGGCCTAGGCCCTAGTACTTTTACGGACATCGGACGACCAAACTAAAGGGGCATTTTGTAAGGTCCAAGTTACTTTTCTAACACGCAAGGCTTTCCATTATGCACGTGATAACTACCGGTAATCCTTGCATTCTCATGCCCATTGATGTTCAGCCTGACACTTACCATACAGGAATAAAAACATTCCTCCATGCACTTGAAGTGAGTGACTTACCAATCCCAATTCCTTGTTAGATTTGTACTTGTACATGAAACTGGAGTCGGGCACTTCGTACACGTACACGTAGCTAGCCAGCTGGGTCGATCGTATCTGTATGTAGGTTAACGTTACAGGTCGTATGCGTACCGAAGTACATGTACTTCACATGTACAAAGCTAGACCCAACATGATGACACGAGACTGTTAATACAGCTTGCTGCCCTCAACGTCACAATAATGAACGAGAGGCGCGGCCGGGGACCCTCATAGCAAAAATGTGTACGAAATCAGTGGCAGATCCAGCATTTACAAAACAGGGGTTGCCGGGAATTTACAAAGGGGCCGCCGGAATTGGAGGTGAGCCAGGACGTACACAAGTGGGAAAATTTTAATGAAACGTAATTTCTGGTTTCAATAAAGGAGCTTTAAGGAGGGCCTGCAGGGAGCCCCCCCGGAACCCGTCAAAATGAGCATGAAGGTGATATTTCTTGTCTATTTATTTTCCCTTCTTCCAAGCATGTAAAGAGCTCAAAAAGTAGCCTCACCCCTCTGGTAGAGAGGCCATAAAAGTTAAGGCAAAAAAAAAATTCCAATTCATTTAAGCCTCACCCAAACAAGCCCTCCCCTAGCTTAAATAGGAATGAAAGAGCATACCAAGGCATTTACGCTGAGCAGTTTGAAACAGCTCCACAAACTGCTGGTAAAAATGTACCCAACACGACTAGCACAGTTATAATCATATAACACACAGACACAACACTGCTTTTCCACTTTTACTAGCCAAAAGAAAAAAGAAATTAAAAAACAGTTGAAATACGAGCACATTAAAAATGGCAACTGACTGTTTCACAATCAACCCCCAAGAGGAATGAAAACAGAACCGACATCTGCACACTAATTGTGGTCAAGAACGTCAACGCTAGACCATAAGATAACGATTCCAAAGGCTCCCAAAACCTTTGAAGTTGAGCCATTTTGGAACACAACCAAACGACACACAACTATCAACAAGCGGGTAAAAAAACGCCAATATAAAATGGATTGAAAAAAACTGGCAAGACTGAACTTCATGAAAGAGAGTTTCTAAAAATGCTGATGCTATGCATACATACAGAATGACAATATTTACTGTACAGTTTATATGAAACATCAACAAACATCATATAAAAGTGGTACATGTCCATATTTACGTGAATTTAAATCGAGACTTCTGGGACATGATAAAATATTTACATGTATCTTTTCCAATCATCGAACCATCCATATCATTTTTTTGACAAAATGAGTTTTGGCAAGCTTCATCATATTTCTACACTGTAAAAAATTCGGAAACCAAAGCAATCCCCTCCCCCCCAAAAAAAGAAAAAACCAATGTATATGGTCTTCATCTGTTTAAGTGCTGTATCTTATATGGCAAAACTAGCAGCATTTTGTATGGCAAGCAAAAACCAGACATGCATGTCAAGTTAACAATAAACTGTCAATGGCATTTTGAAGCCTATCCTGTGAGCCTGCGGTTTGGCTGAAACTACAAACAAATGACACTCCCGCTTTTGTTATGTACATAGGAAATTGAAGGTTGTTGCAAAGTGCTTTTGGGCACTTCCGTACAAAAGTGGAACTTTGTCATTCTGTTACTAACGTCATTACGATTTGTCATTCATAAACAAAGACTGGAGGTCATTTAAAATAAAAACCAAATCGATATAAAGGAAGATAATTTTACTACTCATTTCCACTTTCATTTTTTGAAAGCAATTTTTTCATTGGCAAATTGCAAGTAATAACAAGCTTGGCAACGGAATGAGGAATTTTCACTTTGGAATGGAATTTCTACTATGGAATTGCTCTTACCAGCTTCAATGATTTACAATATATACATGTACACCTAAAGCACACTTCAAAAATTAGAAAGATCTGACATTTCAGTTGTTGCCAAATTTCAAGAAAAAGGTCGCACAAATGTTGGGCCTTCTAAACTTTTACTATTTGATCATAAAAATTGATCTAACATTTGTTTATATGAAATGTCCAAGTTAGAACATCAATATTGCTTTTTACTGCCAATAAACAGCAAGAGATTACTTGGTGAATTTAAAAGGTCATAGACATTTACCAAACCCTTACATTTCATTTCTGATTCATTCTCCTATTCTCTTCGAAAGAAATTTTTAGCAGCCTAAAAGATAAGATAAGACTTGTACACTGCATAACAGAGGGATTGCACTTCATAGTTTTTCCAATGGTTCCTTACATGCTAAAGGAACTATTACTGAGTACCAACTGCAAGGAGTTTTTTTCAGATGTTCCAGCGGAGCTGTTTTGTCTTCAGAGAACTGCACATGGACACAGACATGAAATTTCCAAAAAACTGTCCCAGAAACCATTCCTTAGACTCCTAGAGAAAGACCAACTGACATACATGTACCAACACTAAGGGAATAAAGTCCCCCCAATTTTGATATGACTGTCAACACCTGGGGGATTTGAGATAAAATCACATAGCAGTGTTGTAGTAAGATTCTCTGCCTACAGTCCAACTTGTATGTTACACGTCAAAATATTAAGTGGTACACAGGAAAAATGCTTGAAAAACAAGACAGGGCAGTCTCGAGACTAAGGCTTTCGATTACGAGAGGGAATATGAGAATTAGGAAAAAAAATTCACTGGGAATGTCTGAGCATTTGTACAAGGTCTCCGTCAGTCCAAGTCTGAGTCCTTTCCAAAAATAAATTTATATTTTTTTCTTGACTTCCTCTCACGATGTCATGTTCTTATTTTGGCACTTGAGTTTAATGCAGCCAGCACTTCCGTGGTACTTCGACATGACTCCTGTTACATCATCGTATATTTCAGCTTGCTAAGGAGCTTCGAAAAGGACATAGCCGTGACGGTGATGTCATGTTCTTCTGTGAATGGCCCAAGACACGGACACCCACAATACATTGCAAATTCTGTCACCAATAGTGTAGGGTTAATTTTCCTTGCTACAAAAATCATTACTACGTGTGAGGATTTCAGTTCACGGTGGCTGTCTGTGCCCCAGTACTTCAAGCTTGCCTGCAAAATCAAGAAAAAGTTGGTCTGCTCAATGGATTTGATCGATGATATCTGAAAACTTGATAAATCTCCCCCCAAAAAGAGATATTTTCTCACAAAGGGAAAAATAATCTTAAAATACACCCCCACGCAAAAAATTCCATAGAATTACAGTTGTATAATATTAAAGGTGTTGAAAAGGATGGATCTTTCTTAAAATGCTGTCTCATTATTTTTCTTTACAAATTCTTAAAGTGGGGATTCTACAGCTAATGTTTAGGTTCTGACACTTTGAATAAACTTTTTTTTTTCAGAAAATTGGTAAATGACAGGGCAGCCAGTTAGTCCTCCCTCCTGTACATGTATATGCCACTACAGAACCGATGTACACAATCTTTACTACAGATCTAGAGCTGTATATTGGTAGAGTACCATAACGCCATTTTCAGACTTTGGAATCAAAATGGCTGCTCATCATGTGTGCAGCACATGTGCACTCGTGTATAATCCACCATGTTGGTTCCAATGATTGAGACACTCATGTCGTAACTCTTTCTGTAAACAGCTCTTCACGTAACTACAGCTGATAACAAATCCACACTTTGAGTGACTGTCCAGTGCATAATACATGTATTGAGATTATGGGATGTTCTACCTTTTTATCGCACCAGCAGTCTCAAGGCCAGTGCTGTGACTGCACCCAGGGCCACCATCCCTGCACCAAACATCATCCAGTCGTGCATCCATGGCCCCTGTGGCAAGTCGTCAGGTGGTTGAAAAAGGCACTTCTGTGATAGGGGAAAAGGCAAAAGTCTTCACAGTCAAGGGGATCTCAGCAATGCAAGTTGGTACAAGTACCTGTATTGCTTGATGAGAGACTAACGAGTGTGATTCACTGCCTGCCACCAAGAATGCCTTTTCATGAACTAGTTTTCTGAGGCCTCATGCTAACTAATTCACCTGTGGAAATGATTCAAATTCTTCCCTTCAACCACTTAGTCTATAAGCCGGCCGTCTGTATACATGTATGTGCAAACACCATCCAAGGTACATGACTACGTAGGGCCAGACCATCCACATTGAGTATTTCCACCTGTTATTGGTCAAAACAATATTGTGTCTGCTGTGTTATGAGCATTCATTTTGCTGGCAAACTTAGTAAGCAAAAAGTACAGAAAACCACAAGTACTGTAAAATTACGTGCGAAAGGCCACTGCAACCAGTGAAAAACCAAAATGCACACTAGTCTTGTCTCAAGGGCTAGCTTGCCATGTGTTGACTCCAACTCCATAATCACAGCGACTGTCTTGACCAAAGGCTAGGAAAAAGAGGGAGTCTTTGTCCATATGATGCAAAAAATCTCAGACTCCTTTGGTAGCTTTGGCTTTAAATTGCACCCCCCCCCGGAATAATTTCGAAATGCTTCATGTGGGACCCATGTGTAAATATTCCAAATTCTGGCCACCTATTAGAAAGTTCACTTCCCTAGCAGAAATGGGGCTGCTTGGAGCTGAAAAGTATGAATCCAGGGAAATATCTTTCATCAGACTCATGTTCAAAGAAGTAACTAGCCACAGAAATGATGCAATAATCTGCGTGACCCTCTTCTTTTTGGGTAGGTTCCAAATCAGGTGAGCACCCGATTGGATTTCCTCTTTCCGAATGGCAGGCACTTTCTCATCTGTCCAATCAGCAACTGAATGTTGACAACTAGGCTAATTTAATAAGCCAATTTCATAGCTAGGCTGCTTGGCACAGCCATCTGCTTAGTCTCCCCCCAAACAAAGATAATGGGCTAAAATGCCACACAATGCATCTTGTGACTGGCTCTCTGCTGATGTGTGCTGGGCACTGAAATCTGCTCAGCAACATTTCAGCTTTGCAGCTCTGAGCTGCATGAAAATGGGCCCTGGGTCAGAATAATTTTGGAAGAAGATCTCAAGATACCAGGGATGAGATGGAAAACACATCCGGATTTGTAGAATAAGGCCAAAGATTTGCCTAACACTCCTTAATATTAAAATCATGTGCCGCCTAGCAGAGGGGGATGTATCAAGCAAGCTTAAAAATACCAGTACTTCAATGCCCAAGATTCTGCACAGGACAAAATACACATCCCTGCTTACATTTTGTACAGAACCATTTGTGCACATGGCTATTTTTTATTTTGTCTGGCTCCCTATCCATCTTGAGCAGAAGCACCCCCTCATTGGTTAAAAAGAGCCAACATGGTCGGGAGTGTTTATTTTGTGGGCAGTGATGCGACCACAACACATGCATTTCATAGTCGTTCATGACCCAGCGAAGCTCAGTTTCCGACCACAGGAGCCACCATTACTAAGAAAATTGCGCCCTCTCTTGGTCCAGCTCAAGGCTCATAGGAAAGACATCTGCATGGCATGTCTCACAAACCTTGCAACAGCATGCTGCAACTCATTTGTGACTTTTGCACAAGGAATGCTATGAGCAGAATGGGCAACTCATGGGGTGCACTTTCTGAAGGTTTTTACCGGAAACTCTTGAACATCCATTTTTTTGTTAATCACAGTCTAGCGGCTGCAAAATTGTGATTGCTCTCAAAAAATCACAAAATTAAACCCAAAGCAAGAGATAATCAGCACTAAGTGTGTTTACCATACAATTCCTCATAAACTGATCCATGGAGACGCCATAAGTGCGGTGGCACTGCACTCACACATGCATTCTTAAGCTTGATGTAAATAAATCGTGACATTCTATTGGTCGAAAATGCATGCAACACATGCGTACCATCTGTCCATGGGCTTTGCCCTACTGCAGTAATGGCCTCGCATTTGGTTGCCAAATTACACCACAAACTGCTGTTTGTCACATGCCACAGTGAGTGCACTGTGTGCCAACCACACGCAAAGTGAGCTGAAATACAAATTTCTTTACCATATGCTGTCTTATACCAGTAAAAGTTCTTTTACCCAAAAGCTGGGTCGTGACCACTGCCTTTTGATAGGAAGTCAAAAGTGAAACAGGTTTGGTGATGTATTGAAATGTTCCTTGGGAATTTTCCAAGACACGGTCACCGAACACAAGTGACCTTTTTCTATCCTAAAAAAGTTTACTAGGCATTGTAACGTTTCAGATGTTATCACCAGACAGGAAGAGGGCTGCTCTTTCAAAACAAGCTCACATGATCACTGGCACATGATCAAGCGGGAAGGCTCGGCACCAAGACAATGAGTCGTGCTGTCACATGTTGACACAAGATATATTACTTCCTCTGGGATGACCCAATTCTGGCCAGTGATTATTGAGTCAAACTCTTGCTTTTAATACAGCACCAGGCTTTCCAACATGTTTTTTCTGACAGACAAGAAAGGGGCAACGTGGAAAAAGCGGTGACACAGACTTGAATGAAGTCTAACTCCGAGTCTCATACTCAGACTCTGACTCAAATCCGAATGGATGATTTGGACTAAACTAGTTGAACTTGCAAATTGGCCTCGGAATGCTTATACAGGTGCATGCAGGTTACTCGGACTCAAGGGTAAAATTCTAACTCTAGTGTTCAAATCTGAAGAACCCAAATTACTCAGAAGAAATAAGTGACCAGTCAATATGCCATGAGGGGCACACTGCCTGTGAATGGTTCCCTGCTGAATATTGCGAAACGTGTATTAGGCTCATGACCCTCATGAACTTTGATGTAGAATTTTAAATCAGCTTCTTCAAAGTGTATTTTTGCACAGAAATACATATATAGGCACCAATGTTGAAGTTTTCTACCTGTATATTGTACAAAGACATGTACAGTATGTGAATTAGTGTGGCGTTTTCCATCTGCTTCCTCTTTCATTTATCAAAGTGCATCAAAGAAAAATGCCTTCTGAATGTGTCTTTCACTTCTTAATCTTGCGGGAGTGCTTTCTTGGAAGTGGGGGCTAAGATACCCGTTAGGCACGGTGTTCAGCGTTTGCGGGCACTCAAGAACCTGGCCAATTTCAGACAAAAACAGAAGATCGGTAACAAAGAAATGGCCTCACCCATCCTCCGTTCTGGTCAATCCAGGTCAGCAGGTTGGCATTGACGTAGCTGGTGGTCAAGTGGACCACTTGGCCCACCAGCTGCGGCATCTCGTTCTCCACGCAGCGGACGGCCAGGGCGCCGCTGAAGGCCAGCAGGGAGCAGATCCGCCCCCAGGAGGGCTGGACGCTGCTGCTTGCATTCTGCTGTCCATTGGGAGCGCCGTGAAAGATCTCGTGGACCACGCTAGAAAAAGAGCAACACGTTGTATTTAGATTAGAGACTGTTTTATTCAGGTAACTGCATGGACATGATGGGGCAGCAGTGTTGGAGTCGAGCCAAGCACAACCGTCCAATCAGTCACAAGACTAGTCGTACGTAATGGGGTGTACCATGATAAAGGATGTTTGTCACAGTTCATTTAAATAGCTTGTGGCTTGGCTTAGGACCGGATGACTTATGATGGACTTGTGCAAGGCCAGATCCACACCCAAATTTTTGTTGGGGGGGGGGAGAATCAGGAATTTTTTCAAGCAACACTTAATAGCCTATCTGGGGTGAGGGAATCAGTGTCCATTAACCCTAACCCTCCTCAATCCTTCACCTGTTGGAGGACTGAGGAGTGTTAGGGTTAAAAAAATTTGGTATCGCCTTGGCCAAAAATGTGATTTCTTTCCATTTGTAAACAGCAAGGGATAAATGACAAATTTCTACTTGGAAATTGGGTCGAATTTCATCGCACAGATACATGTATAAATTTAAATTTACAGCAGAAATTTTCTAAGCTGAAAAGGTTTGCTGAGCAAGAATGAGTTACCAGCCAAAAATGTAATGCTGTTTAGTGTTTACTTCTCATGACCGGTTCAAAGGCAAAGCAAAAGTTTCTTCTTGAAAAATCCTTGAAACTGAGCCGTATATGGCAACCATCCTCCCAACATCCACTCCCACCCCTCTTTAAAATAATCCCCTCCTCACCCGTGGAATATTCCCGATAACGTGTCCGGCGTAACGTGCAGAATGTCAGCGATGGCCATGCCGTTCAAGTCCTGTTGGTACTGGTGTTCAATATTCCGTGTCACCTCCCTGATGACCTCCTGGAAGGGCGTTGCGGGTATGCTGATGTTTACGTTGCTGCATTCCAATAAGGGGCACCCCAAACCCTTGCTGCTCAGCTTATAGTGAATGTAGTCCGTCACCACACTGGCTGTCGTGAGGTCTGGCATTTTGGATTGTATCAGGACACCTGTGCGAAAAATGTTGCAATTATGACTGCACTACACCATCACTCTATTTCTATCAGTCCATTCTGGATAAAATCTGACAACACAGCGTTATGGTACCAGTACTAGATACAATAATTTTTTTGGAGTGAAGGGACCCCAAAATTGGAAACTTTCATTGAAACAGAACAAAAGTGAAATGGAACAAACTGTTATTATGGCACATAAGGGGTGATGCTACTTCTTGGGCTTTTAACATATTGTATGGAAGATGTTTTTTGGGGTTAAAAAAAATTTTTGACTGATTGTTTGGTCCCCCCCCCCCACTGATATGTTGACACAATGGAGGTAGAATCACACAAACCACCGCCATGCACCCAATTAAGTGCCTTTTCAACCACTGGACACGTGCTTGATTTCACCATAAACCATTTATAAGCACTGCCCCTCTATCGATTTTCAGTTTCTCAGTACCTGGACTAAAGAGCTGATTCTGCCTTATCTCGATCTCAAATCAACTGTTCGAACCAAAGATCTTTGGTTCGGACCATCGGACGTGGTTCGGACACGAGTGCAATAAGTCCGCTGCGGCCGGGCGTAGCGCCCTCTATCAAATCAACAGCACACGTACGTACGTCGCGCGATGCGCGACAAACGCACATAAAAACGCCCCACCACAAAACTTGTTTCTAGAGGGGACTTCTGTCTCCACTTCTAATAGAAAGGAAAATGACCAACAATGTAAACGAGACAGAGCAAATGGTAACGCCAATCAACTATAAATCTGAATACATCCTATCATCGACCGCTCTCACATTGTCTTATTATGGAGAAACAAATGGACTAATATTCCTGGACCAGGGGCGGCAAAAATTTATGCTCGGGTTAATCATGGAAGGTTCCTTCCTCCACGGGTTAATCACCCCAAATCATGTACACATAAGCTAGCGCTACTCTTCGTCAAGAGAGTCGTATTTTCGTTTATAAATGGCGTTTATTGTTTGGTATTTTTATGGTTGGTGAATTATTCTTTTGCTTTTGTACTGACCGTACAGCTAGGAGTTACCAGCCACTGTCAGGCAAATGGCCTCTATGGGGAGACTGAGACTGAGTACGGCCTATGCCCCGCCGCCGGGCGTCCCGCGGCTACAGCCGGCGCCCCGCCACGTACGGGCATTCAAGTTAAGCGTGCATAGGTGCTTGGCTGCGCAAAACATGATGTCGCTGAAATTCGAAGTGGATTTTGCACAGAAGTTATGAAAGCAAGTACGAAATTGGGTATACGTTTTTCTGAAACAGCCATCCAATTTCTAATCCGCAAACTTAAGAAACCTCCCGTCAAAAAGGTGAGAGGCATGGGTACCGGGTTGGAGCTTCAAACATACCAAGGGCCGAGAACTCAGCAGTCACCCTGCCCCGCTGTGGCGTATCCCAGCAGGTGGGTGAGTGTGTTCCTTCCTCCATGGTGGGAGAGGGGCAACTTGTCCCCAGGGATATGTTACAAAGTTTTAGAGAATTGAAAACACCAACCCTTAAGAAGAGGTACGTACAACCACCTGCTGGGGCAGGGGATGTGCTTGATGAAGGACGGGAAAATAATAATGGACAACTATTTCCGAAAAAGTCCCGCTACTCTGTTGATCGACTCAAAACCTGACTAAGCCACTTAATTATATCCCATTATGGATAGAAAACTAACGTAGATGGCCAAAGTAGAAAATTCATCGAAAACTTTCAGTTTGTGCTGCGAATGGTTCCCACAACTAAACTGAATTTATTGACTTGCCACGTATACTAGTAGGCCCTATAACTGACGTGTTGAAAGTTAAGGCAATTATGAAACTCAACATCAGACTAAATCACCATTACTCACCAAAGTTAAACTCGAAATGATCTGGGGTGCAGGGCCAGGCTGAGAGCTGAGGTATGGTAGGCAACAGTTTTACAGTTGAAGAGTTTTGATACTGAGCGTCTAGCTGGAAATAACTGAGGTCTATCCCGTTGAACATATATAAAGCGCAGACTGAAAGAGCCACTCCTACAATGATAATGACATGCTATTCTTGGCGACGCATGTGCACCGTGATCGCGGTTACTCATGCACTTCCACTTCCAACCGGGGATTTCCTGAAAATTTACCAGTGATGCCCCAGCTGCAGTTTCGGTCTGGTCCAAACACAGCGAAATGATCATCACAGGCGGACGTTATTTTAGCTTTGTGTTTTGCTTCACATTGATTTCCCTATATGGGGATGGACTCGGGAATACAATGTCGAAATCTATGGGTTTCTTTTTTCACAATTTCACCGAGGCCACTGTTGGTCACGAAGTGGGGCCTATGACAGCCTGAGGCCCCTTCCTTGCTCTGTGCCGAAATTAGGAATTTAGTTGTTCATTATGGCAAAAATACAGATATCAAAATTTTGCGATACTCAAGTTATGATCTCATGACAGGCAATGCAGCGGGTGAATCAAACATACCCCGGGGCTCCTGAATTTTCAGTGCACTTTCAGCCAACACTGAAAGTTTGCTTTAAATAAAACTAAGATATTGAAACCTGATGGTAATGACTCGACAGTGTAAATACGGGTGTCCCGATTTATTTCATCTCATGAAGTAGTTGTTGCCACGAAAGCTCACGCAGGGCTTTGTTTTTCCAGTAAGTCTGTAAGTGCTACCCCATGTTTGCCGTCGAACGTTCAGGAAAATCTTTAGTCGCGAAGAGAACGTGTCAGCACGCTCTGCGGTATCGTTCTTTGGTCCATGGACGTAATCCTGTCAAACTTTGTGGAATGTACCCACTTTGGATGGAAGTCTCTTCAAACGCAAAAGGAAACCGTGTGACATTCGTATCAGTTGGATCTCACAAACATAAATCAAACGTTATTGATAAAAAAAGTAAAAATCATCCACCATTACATATAATTAATTTATTCTGTGTTGGCTGTGTTGGAGAATCATGCTCACTAACTGGATACGCCAGTAAAATGCAGCCTTTATGCCAAACCTTCAGGTTTTCCAAAACTCTTGTAGCAAAACAGCAGTGTTTGAAACTAGCGTGAAAGGGTGGATCCAAAACCAGAAATTGGAAGGGGGACTTTTTAAGGGGGGGGTTCGGAATTTCTTTACACAAGCTTTTATGGCCTTCTTGATGGATGATGTTAAATTTGGGGGCTTTTTGACAACCGTTGGGAAGGAAGGGAAATCGTCTTTCTCCCCAAAATTTTTGACCCCCATCCATCAACGACAGACTGTCCCATAGTACATTTTTGCAACACACAAAAACGATCCAAGACTTGCTGTAGATAACAAAATTCAGACATGGCCTGTTGACTACATCGTCAGTTGGTTACACTGAGCACATACTGCAAGATATAAGTTTACCAATTCACAAAACTCTGTTGAGATCACTTTAAAGACTATATTTTTTTTAATTTAATGAAGTGATTTCACACTCGAAACAAACATCTTTGATCTGCTGTCTCATCTGGCCACTAGACTAGTGCAGGCAAAACAACTTTGGACAAGCAGGTTTTTCTCGGTCAAAATTTACAATTGTCCTTTCTTTAAATAAATCTTTTAACATAGGTGAAAAAACATCTTAACACATTTTCTTCCAAAATATTGGGTACAGCAGAAATAAATTGAATAGACACCATTCTTGATTCCGAGAATGAAAGTGATCCAATGGGACACATATGTTGGTACGGAGATGTCAGTTAAAAAAAGCATTTGAAGTGGACAGGCAGTTTTAAACCTTGACAAGGAAAGATACTGGAATAGATGATATATGAAATTCAGTAAATAATACTGTACATCTCTGGAAGATGAATTCAATGATAAAACACTTCTTGGACACAAACAGTCCGTGCATACATCATTTCAAATGATAGTGTCTTAACAGAGAGTTGATATGGCGAGTTGATTCCTCCAAAAGGTAGTCACAAATCTGGTTCCAGGAAAGAAATTGACTCAGTATGACACATGTTTTGGCATAAAGTTCCAGACTGCTGATAAGTCCAACTTTCAACTGTTTCTCATCTCTGTAGATGTGAGTGGATGTGGGTCGTTTTGCAGCTGCCTGAGGCGTGCTTGTATGCCATCGGCTTGAAAACGTCAAATGTCATTGTACAGTGCATTTGAACAAATCTGTATGAAAGCTATGCTTTAGAAATGAATAAATTATTATCATTTTTATCAATCTTGACCATTTTAACCACAATTCACTGTAATTGGCATATCCATTTAACTAATCCATCAAAGAATTTACGACTTGACGCATCTTGCTCACTTTCTGCTCGGCGAAAAGCAAAAAGTGACCAGCCGTTCATGTAAGTAGCATCTTCCTGGCTATGGCCACCATCTGACCTCAGTGACCACTTGCTGACTACTCAACAACTGCCAGCATCAAACTCCAGCCACCTGCAACTCAGTAGAGTGACTGTGGTGTGATTGGTAAGGGCGACAACAGGGGCACTTGGGGGCCGTTCTTCTGAGGTGGCACACTCAATGGGTTGTCACACAGGTATACATAAAAATGAGGTGATGCATTGCTGACTTCCAAGTGTTGGGCGGTGGGGGGGAGGGCTACACCTTTTTAATTTTTTGATGACATTTTATGGACTTTCAGAGGGGTGGGGCTGCGTTTGAGAATTTTGAAATGCTTCTGAAAGGGAAATGAAACATTAAAAAAAATCACCTTTCTCCCACTATTTCTCACAAACCCTTTTTGCTCTTTTTTTTGGGGGGAGGGGTGACCCCAGTGCCCCTCACCCTGTCTGCTCTTGATGACATCACATTTTGCTTATATGCGCTTTCCTGTGGAGCCAGTCCACTGAGCACCATAGGAAATCACACATGTAGCCAAAGTGTAGCATTGTCAGAGGTCTGTTCAAGTTTGATTTTTCTCCTTCAAATTCTAAGCAGGGTGGAGTGCATGAAGGGGCCAGACATGAAGGTCAGGGGGGGAGGTGTCCATCATGTGCCCCATGGGCAATTTCAGAGAGGGAGAAAAGCTCTCTCCAGGGGGAGGGAAGGCAAGGTACTGTCAGGCAGGAAACTGACAAACCCAAACAAACACTGACAAACGGTGGAAAGGGGTCAATCTGAGGTTGACTGGTGAAATTCGTCCTCTTTTTGCCTTTTTTTTTGCTTTCCCTTGTTTCTTTCTTCATATTCTCTTCTGCAGTTTTCCATAGGGGGGAGGTTGGAGACCACGCTTCTTGCCCCTCCCACTGCCACGCCCATGCACCCTCCCCCTTTTGGTGGCACAGCTGCCCCTTTCTGACAATTCCTACACCACACAGCTCACTTCTTGGTGTCATCTTTCTTGGGCTGGGCATTCGTTTTCTTTTTCTTGGAAGGTTTCCTGGCAGCAGCCTTCCCTTCTCTGCTGTCTGGAGTTGATCTTGAGCGGTCTGATGCTGAGCCCAACTGATAAGAGGTTCTGGTTGGTCTGGATTTGTCTGCGTTTGCCCTTTTCCTGGACTGCGACTTGTTAGTGCCCTTCTCTTGAGTGGGATCTGTCCACAGATTGCTGAAGCAGCCTGGTGCTTGATACCTGGAAAAAAGTATGAAAAAATGTAAATCAACATTAAAACAAACGAGACCCAACCTGTCAAAATGAGTCTCAAGTCCCCAGAGCCACTTTTGTGTTCAAGGGCTTTAACCAGTTAACGTTGGATTTTCGTACCCCAAAAAAGCTGCATGGGATGGTTTTTTTTTACACGTAAATTCTCGTCTACGTCTACCGCGGAAATGAAACAAGAATTTTTAACCAGTGTACACATCCTTCGTGGAACAAATAAGGAAAACTATGAGTGTTACATGTCATCTAGCGTCAAGGGGTAATAAATGACTCCGGCACAGTCATCATGAATACATGAATAACCATTATGAATTCCAGACTGAGCAAAGCATCAACACAAAGGGCTCAGTTTACTCTCCCTGATGTGCATGTTAAGCTCAAACAAAAGTCGCCAGTAAAGATGGCCTAGCCTTACGTTAGACTCATACGGTGGGATCCCGTTACGGGTGCTTTTCTGCCAATCACTGCTGGTTTGCACATCACACGAAAGTGAAAGTGAACTCCATGACTAAAATGACTGCAGTTTAATTTGGACATTTCTTATGAATCGTGACTCATGAAGATCTGGTTTCCTTCTCATTTACTGAGCAAGTTTGGAATGGACTCGTCTATGCTTTTGCTCACATCAGTACTCAGTCGGGGGTGGAGCTGGGAGGCAAGGCGTGTCTTGCACCGAAGACAGATTTGAAGAGGCCACTGCTACATTGGCACGCATTTTAGCCAATCACACCTAGGGCCAGATTGAGTGCTCTGTAAGACCCTAGGCATGTTTTCCGTGCATTCCATGTTGCTGCTGAGCTGGATGCAGTGACATGTATGAACTAAAGTACATATGTGTAGTTTACTGCTTGGACAAAATCAACAATTCAGAGACTTTGATTTTAGTCGAGTGTGTGTAAATATTAGTGTTTGTGTTCTATGGCACACCATCAGCTTTTTTGTAAGCCCTGGCAATTTCCGTTAGGCCCGAGATTTACTGTTGGAAAACCACGCCCATAACACCACCCTACTGGTGGAAGAGGCACGCAACACCCATGTCCACCTGCTCGCAAACATGGTGGCCACCGCAGTACTGGCTTCTAATTCCATTTGCCGAATTGGTTAACTTCTTACCCAGGTTCACTGGCATCAAGAGCTTCCTTGGACAGTAGAATTGCAATGGCTGGTATGTGCCTGGTCACTTTGAGTCTGGGAAACAAACAATTGAAATTGGTAAAAGATAAGGTCCAATGTCTTCAACACCTCTGCATGGTGTTCCTCCTAATTTTAGATAACATTGAAACTTGGCGTCGGGCCCTCTGGTGTGGGCATAGGGCGGTACAGTCGTCAAGTCCACCCAGTTTTAAGCCACAAGCTGTTCAAATGAACCATGCTGAGAGTGACCCTTTGACTGCTGTTCATCATGTTCCCAGTGGCTGGATTTGTGGGAGGACATGTGACTGGATTTGTAATGGACTTGCAACAGCACTTTTATCTAAGGCATAATGAAAAGTTGAGGTTCTTGATGTGGCGGTCTGGTCCTTCAGCAGTTGTCAGGAGGGTGGAGATTTGTCCACCACTTAAGGAGGATAGGAAGCGCCAAACCAGACAAAAACTGGACTCGAGGCGACTGTGGCTTGATTCCCTTCAATTTATTCCCAGGTGTCAATCAGCAATGAAATTCTATAACCAAAAGGAAAAAACCCCAAAGAAAGACAGGGGACATACTATTGAGTGATGGTTTACATTTAAATCGCAATAAATGTTACATTTGATTTGTCCATAATTAATTCACACTTAGGAATGTCTGTGTAATCCTAAGTTCTCTTTCCCTGACATCTAAAAGTTTGCCCAAATAGGCAGAACATTAAAGCCTACAAAAAAAGGCTTAAGTTATTCCACAAGGAGCCATCTTGCCGTGACTGCCAGCCCACTAAGATGCAGGTCTCAAGCGTAAGAACTGTCCAGAAACTTCTCAAGTCCCGCCAAAATATCATACAATGTAAGCGACTTCCGGCCGAAGGGAGTGGCTTTGAGATAACGTATTAAGTCCCTTAAGAAAGGGATGCTCATACCCATGCACTGATCTAGTGCCAGAGATCAGTAGGTCAGAGTTCATATTCATATCAAAAGTAATTACCTGACAGGGGAGTCCCCAGACCCCTACATTAATATCCATTGGGGTCGTGTGGCCAACGTGTACACGTATTACTGCAAACATTACAAACTATGTACATGTATGTGGTATTCTGCGCCAAACAGAAACCAGGTTACTGGTAGTTCCAAACGCAAGGGTGAGGTTCATTTTCTTTTAGGTCTGATCTGAGGGATTTGGTTGGATAAGAGGGCCCGATCACCACCTCTGCATGCACACACACACACAGAGAGAGTGGTCGATACAGAAAGAGCAATTATCTGATTACATTTTGTATTTTTCTCAAAAAAGTGAGTCCCATTTTCTTCAATCTGCTTATAGGTATTCAGTTCCAGAAATAAATGCTGGCTTGTATTTCTGTGAAAGAAATATGTTTAATTTAAACATTTTTAAACATTTGCTTAACAGTTATTTCACGTTATCACTTATTTATCAGGATGAAAGATTTGGTTTTACAAGAATAAGAGAACAAATGAAGGAACATCAGTATAGATGAACAAAATATACAGGTGATTCAACAATGGGGTGAAGCCGACTAGGTTTTGTTCCACAAACTTTGGAAAAACTAGTGACAACTAGGGACAAAACAAGACAAATCAAAACAATGCACAACAAGTGAGAATAACCACTTCAGACCTGATATCAAAAATACGTAAAAATTGATAAATAAGAGATTAACAAACAGCAACAATGTACATGTAGTGAGGTTTGCTTTTGTCAATTGACCAATTGCACATGCTAAGTCGTGTGACTTCTGGTGAGATCAAACATAAAAAACCATGGCGTCCTCCCATGGCAACATGTGTTGTTTACAAAAAAATAAATTCCATTTTTTGGTGTAACACTCAGCATATCAGTTGTCTGAGTAGTGCACCGACAGTCAACTTTATTTTTGGTACATGTAAATGACACTTATGAAACATTTTGGTCCATTCCCCTTTTGAAAATCTCTGTCAACTATGTTGACTTTTGAAAACTGGGCCTTGCACTGAAAACTATTTTGAGCAAAACTCCACTGAACTTTTACTGAACTGTTGTAATTCCACGGAAAGTCTTTTAAATTTCCGAACCAATTTCCTAATGCAGAGCGGGAGTTTGTGTACACAAATTATGAACCCCAAACTCTTTGCTAAATATGTACAGTGTTTGCTCCATGACTGGCTTTCTTCACATAATAAACCATCCAGGAAAAACAAACTAAACTGCAGGAACACAATGGACCACATCGCAAAGTTGCCTAATAAAGCCTGCCAAAAATTGGCGCCAAAGTGCCTGTCACATGAAAGAGCCTGCCTTCGATGACATCAAAAGCATGAAAATGGAAATCTGAATACAGAAATTCGAGTAAAAATACCCAAATATTCAAGAAAATCCCATGGGAATTGCGGCACAAAGATTGAGAAATGAGCAATTCAAGCTGAAACAAGAGTTTCTATAGTGCCTTTAATATTGCCTTCGATACTTAACAGTAATTCTTCAGAAATTCATCCCTTTTCCCCCTTTGCCATGATTTCATTTAAAAAAAAATCTTGGGTGATATTTAATGTCTGTCTCTGGGGCTAAGGAGCTTCTTGTCACAATAGTAACAAAAGCATTTGTCCACACTGCACAAGTTAGTTTCGTTTTGTTCAAACGCACCTAGAACATGACCACAATAAGTAAACTTAAGTTCACTTTGACCACAGCCACTGGTGCATTTGTTGGCTTCGTACACTCTTTCGTTTTCATGGTCGGATTCCCACGCTCCTTTAAAGTGCAATACTCTCCCGACAGAGAGTGCCCTGGGTACCTCACCGATGGAAATTTTAAGGCTTATGAGGAGTAATAAAACTGTTTGCATCACTAGCACGCATGTTTTCTTTTCACTTCATTTCCATTTTCAATGGTTATTCAATGTACATGTACATAATGTGTACACAGAAGCATGTGCAAAGGTGTGTATACAAACACTGGTGTTACCGGTGCCTAAATTTGATTCTGTGTACATGTAACTTCAAGAAAAACTCGGTAAAAATACTCATTTTTCTTGCACTGTGAAAACTATTCCGGGTTAGATATTTGATGGTGACTTCCTTGACTGTTGCTCTTCATTGTGCGACTGTTACCCTAACCCAAAAATGCCTCTAAACCCATTTTCCAGAAAACGGGTAACTTCGTGTGGACCAAGCTTAGTCCAAAAAGATTAGCACAACCTGTATGATGCTGATGTCATGTGTTCATGGGTCCACACTGTATATGTAAGGTTTGTACACATTAGCCAGCGACATTGTCAACCTGTATGACAGGAAAGGCTTCATGTACACACATGCCTGATTCTAATATTTTGCTTAAACTTAAAACAAAAAAGCCACAAATCGGGTGTTGTAGAATTGGTATTCCCGAGGATCATTCATTTCAGACAGTGTAAAATCCATTTCCACATTACTGAATAGAACTTGCACTCTGACCAGGGGCGGACAAAGAGCAGGCAAGGAAACTCGTTAATCTCAAGATGACGGCATTTAGGTTCCTGACCGTACTCTTTCGGTTTCAATTTCAGCTGACTTTCCCACACTACTGGAAAACTACACTTTGCACGTACCTCAGTTTGTTGGATTTACAAAGGGGAAGTACCAGCACGGGGACAGTTTTGTTTTCATGTGGTACACGTGATCATGGTACTAAATACAGAACTTATAACTGTCATCGGATTCTAAAAACAGAAAAAAAAGGAGTAATGAGACAATATTTGTTGGTAGTTTGGTTTGCATTATTGAGGGAAATGTGAGCTCTTTGCTTGGATGTATTGCATTTGGCATCCTGATTTACACGGAAATTATGGGGGTAAAACATTTTCGGGGGTTATGTTAAAATGCTTCCTGCAAAGTTCCTTTGAAGGCCTTTAATGACTGGCTCAAAAAAAAGGCTTGGGCAATTAGTAACTCGCTTTGTTAAGTTGGGTCACATTTACATACGTACACGTATTCTAAATCTGGGTGAATCCATTCTAAAATGGACACACATTTACATGTAGGTCATCTACCAGTGATTCAGACAGAACTTGAATAACGGCAGAAAAAACTTTCCAGCTTTAGCAATCCCATACATGTAAGTAGCACATTAAATATGTCACAAATTGTCTCTTCCTGTTGCCACTTTTGAGTAGTGGCATTCCGTTAATGAGCAAAATTGACGTAACGTGTCAAAATTAGGTTCTATTGGCAAGAAATCAATTCTGAATTGTTGCAATGTGTTGAAAAATATATTGGCCTTGCTCTTTTTGTTCAAATATTCAATTTAAGTTTTTTCTCAATTGGCCATTCCAAATTGAAGTTAATAAATTTTGAAATCAAAAGTATTTGACTGTCAAAATGAAGAAAAAATCTTTAAAACTTGAATGAAATTTTTAATGAAATTTTAGTTTAAACATATCAGTGGCGTCATAAAGTACCAAAATAACAAAAATGATGAAACCCACCCCTCTAACATCTTACAGCAATTTTGCCAATCCTGCTTTTATCAATCACGACAATCATGCCTAGTTTTGACAGGTCAAAAATTTGTGAACATTTGTGTGCACAAAGCTTCCCAAAGAGGATCAGCCATTTTACGGCAAGAATCACTAAGTTGAAAAACATGCATATATATAACGCTACAAAAACTAAACTGCCCCCACCAGTGCAGTGTTCTCCAAGGGCTGTTTTAGCGGGGCGGACCGCCCTGCCAAAATTTTGGGCCGCCCCGCTAAAATTTGTGCCTCCCTGCTATTTTTTTGAGTAGTGTATTTTCCAAAATCGTGTGGGGAAATTACATCGTTATCACGTGACCTGATGAAAATGACATCATTGAACTAAACGACATAAGCAGAGACTAGGGATGTCGATTGATTGTGGTTTGGTCCCCGACCTGTTATGCGGGCCCCGGACCCCACGGCGTGAGGGCTTCATGCTCTCAATTTTTGTCTACCGCCCTGCCAAAATTTTTGGCCGTGGAGAACACTGCAGTGGACAATACAGTAGGCGCAATTGAAACATCCAGCTCAGAGATTTTGCTCCTTGATAAGCTGAGAGCACATCGCACTTTAATTTTTTGGTTATGTTTTGAATTTTGTACTTTCATTATTTAACCATCACACTCCCCAAAAAGACTACAACATGGTAACCTCATTCTTAAAAGTACTAAAAGGCTTTGAAACTAGATTACTACACCAAAGGCAGGGCAAATGCCTGATTTTGTGCATGCTATGTGTATGTCCATGTATTAATCGAAGTTTACCCTCAAAGACACTCATGGATTTTAGTCCTTTTTTTTAATTCTACTGTTGGGCATCCAGATGGACAATACTCACCAAAATGTTTACATGATTACTGGTCTTTATGAGGATCATGTGATTAAGGAAAGTGTGGCAAACAGAGACCTTTTGTGGACTTATCCAGCAACTGAAGATTGTTAGCTATGCAGCCGGTTTGTGTGCCGTGTTTACATACATGTATTTTGTCCACAGCATTTCCACAAATACAATTCATGCGAACTTTTCCGTGAAATGTCAGACTTTCATGTCAGAAAGGTTGTCTCCTTTTTTTTCACCTTGATGTGACAAATAGAAAATTAATCATTTTCCATTGTCCTGCAATATTCCTTGAAAAGTAGTCTGCACTTCCTTGTTCTGTGAGTATCAAATGCCAACTCTCTGTTTAAGAACTAGCTTCACGCATCCGACCTGGTGGCAAATCAGCCAATTCCTGCTGAGAGACTCCCACTAAATATGGTCACGGCTGGGGAATTGCAGTTCATGTCAATTCATGACTGATGCTGGTGGTCATGACTGAGGATGGAATCATCCCTCCTCTAACCTTTTTCCTCCAATATCATTGCAGTGCATGTTTTCCACGTGCCAAAGTTTTTTCAGTCCCACACAGTACCTTGTGGTAATTTTAACACCAATTTTCTAAAACTTTGTCGTGCTGCTCTCGCGCAGCACCCATTTTCCTGAGACAGATCAGCCGAAAATGCATATTTTTTTCTACTGACAAGTCAGTGCACATAGGCTAATGTATGCGTGTGACCTTAGCACTTCAAATGACTGCAGTACATGTAGCAAAGACCTTATGTCAGATTTTAAACTTCTTATTTGTACTGATTATAAATTCATTTGCATGCACGCCAAGTTTAAACTAATCCGAGTCCTAGGGAGTGAGAGGGGGAGGGGGAAATCGCCCCTGACTGTGAGATGGCCAACCCCCCCCCGGCTTTTTAGGGGTGGAGAGAGTCTTCATAAACAGTCCACAAACTGATGTTGAAAATGAAAGCTGAAGTGTGTAGATCATCAACATATACATCGAAAGAAATTTCCCTGAAAACACTTCACAGAAGTACACGTTTTATATTTTTTACGGGTCAAATTTTTTCCCTACACACGCTTCCGCCACAACCATGAAATGCCGACACCCCAGCATCAATATTGTCGTTACTTCTCAGAATGGCCAAAATCCTATTTCATTTTTCACTCCAAAAATGGTCATGCTCTTGCAACCGCGCAGACCTCCCACATTTTTACAGTGAATGCTTCCTCTTCATAGTTTCCCTCCCACTTGCAACCTGTCCAACTGATAATTAGGACCCCCCAGTCTCCTCAGCAATCCTGCTTGCCTTTCGGCATTAGTTTCCAAAAAAATCTCTTTGTAATTAAATGAATACTTTTGCAACTGTTTGATACAAAAAACCTCTGTATCTTTGAAATGTATGTAAAGGTCTTAATGTAATATTGAAGAGATGTAGACATTACGGAACAGCAATGGTTTTGCTGAAAATGATCACAAATTCTCAAAAATATAAAAAAAACAAAATGTTTTTACCTGTCTAGCCCTTCTTCCTTTGGGTTCCAGAACTCGGCAATCCTGCAGGATTAATCAATAATTGTGTGAAATTTTTATAACAACAAAGTAAACAGCCCTCTCCTTTTCTTTATTCCCTCTGAAGTCCTCTTTGTTAGCGTGCGAAGAGGCCTGAATTTTCTGGTTACTTTCTGGCTTTGGTATTTGTCCGATCAAAAGCCGAGGTGACTGGACATGATTGTCTGAAGCAAATGTAGAGTTAAACTTTTTTTTCAAAATCCTGCTGCTTCTATTCTTTTTTTGCGCTTGTGACATTTAAACCATAAAAGCATGTTCTTGTGCCACCATATTTTCAAACACTGGTAATGTCAAATATGGCTTTTTTTGGGGGGGGGATTGCGGGAAAGCTGTCGCCATGTCACCTGCAGTGTGTTGATGTGTTACTTAAATGTGGAAATTGACCTACTTTAAATCCTGAATAAAATTGAAATCACCTCCCCCCTTCATATATCCATGCTCCCCTCCCCCCAAGAAGAACCTGGCTACACCACTCAACAGTCACTAAGGCATCTTGTAACTCATTTTGTAAGGTTGGGTCACGTGCGTAATGGTACACAGAAGCTTTTCACCTAGTGGTGGAGCAATAAGTCTCAGTCCCTAACACTGCGGTTCAATGCAACCCACGAGGACAATGAGCCGGCGTAAACAGGGACAATGAACCAGTTTATTCCGACAGCGTGGTCCCAGAATGAGGGTATTCGGGAACAGCTGCACGCCTGCGCAATAGTCGGTCCTATCAGGGCTACCATCGCTGACCCACGTATACGCTTTGTTCTTGAAAGACCTTGGTTTTTTGGAAATACCAAATTGGCTCATTGAGTAAGACGGGCAAGCATTTCTCCCAACATAAAATTTCATTTTTAACAAGCTAAAAGCAATTATTCACCTCTTGTGGTAAATCTTTGTGACCTGGTGGAGTGTCTTCATGTTGCGTTTGACGATCTCGACGCATGTGATGGTCTTGCTGATGGCTGGCCCTGAACCAGCAAAGATGATGTGTCTAGTACTTTCATCCTTCAAAAAAACAAGAGGAGGGAACCATCTCAAAATGATAGGGTCCAAAGTGTGACACGGGGGGTTAAATTTTGACAAAGTAATGAAGCTAATCATATTTCTTATTACGTATCTTGCTGCCATATGTGAAAGTATTTAGTGTTTTGAAATTAGATTTCGTCTTTGAAATTACCAATGTGAAAGTATCTGGGAAGAGAAAATTGGGTTTTGGAGGTTCAGAGTAAACTAAACAGGTGTAAATATTGGTGCAACAACATCTGCATGACCAATTCCCTTCATGGTCTTTGCCATCTTCACATATTGTACGTGTACCTTTATCTTTTTGAAGGCAAAACCCAGCAGGTTCCGCACTTTGCTGCCGTTTTTGACCCTCATGGTGGTGACCCCTGTCAGGTCCAGGCCGAGGCTGGAGAAGAGTCTATCTTCTTGATCTTTGGGTACTTCTACCGTCTCTCCTTCCTCGGGCTGGAACTGGTGCATCGCGATGCCTCCCTCGGCAACCACTGTTTCTTCACGTTCGTAGTGATCCACTGCAGGACAATTGTAATGTGAGAAATTTGTACACCTTTATCAACGTGCTGTAAGGAAAAAAATGTTTAAATTTTTTTGCTAAATTTACATATAAATGTATGTAAAATGACAATTTATAGACAAATGAACCTCTTTTGGTTTGTTTTGTATTTTTGGTGTGAAAAAATGAGTGATCTGTTCATAAGAAAAATAGTGATGCTCCTTCTATTGGAAATAAGGACCCTGCTACATAACATACATTTGTGAGCATTTGTCTTTGAATACCGTGACTACCAAAATTGGTAAGGCTTTCACATTTTTATGCATCAGTCTCCCCAAAATGACAACTGAATCCTTCAGTTGTGCAACATAAAGTCTTCCCATGGCTGCACAGAAAAGTTTTGGACTGATACACACCCTGCCCTATAAGAAGTTGAAACAGATTGAGTGACACAATGATGAGAAAATGTCTTGAAATAATTGAGCGTACTGGTGAAATTTCAGCTCATAAAACGTAGCAGGTGTCAAAAGGTAAAACGTTGTATGGTTTACATGTTTGCATGTAAATCCCCAGTAAGGGCCCAGTATCGACAGAGGAGTATACAAAGGGCCCTGTTTACATCATGTTATTGTAATATATGTAAACATCTTTCATCATGTCGGGAAAGATTTCACTTCAATACTCCCACCAGAATTAGTCAGGAACACCAAAATCTTTGAAAAGAACTATCCAGTTGTAATCAGCATTACATGTGCGTGTAGGTAAATGCTTAGCATAGTCTGTCATTTCCAGATTTATTTCAGTAAAACCAGTAAAGAGTTGGGCAGAAAGTAGGCATACCCTTGAACATTTTGAGTCACCATACAGTGCCAAGAACATCCAACACAGAAAACCGGAACTTTCTTCCCCTGTATTGCATGAAAATTTCCTGATGAAAGTCTTCAAGTTGAAGGCTGTGCCAAGTATTTACATAATTCTGAACACAAATGTCTAGTCATTTTTTGAAGATTTTGCTGTTCCAAATGGATTTTGGTAGGTATTTTGGTATCAAGGAAACCACTTTCCTTATGTCAGCCTGGGCCCTAACTGAAAATATCTTCCCATCATTCCATTTGGTTTCCATGTCCTTTGGTTTGCAGGTCAAATGTTTATGATGGTATAGTCTCCACTCCAGGTCCCTTATTTCACCACTTACTGTGAAAACCAATCAGACTTGACAAAAACTGGCAAAATTAGGGACCTCAGGACTATCACGACTATACCTTCAGGTCACCAACTTAAGGCCGTGCATGGGCATGAATATCCTGGAATTCCACCAGAAAATTTTGAGAACCTATAGGTCTATGACTTTTTCATTATTTGGACAAGTTGGTATACAGTACAATGTTTTGTTTACATACATGTACTTAGCGCGTAGACTAGCCTCAGCCCATCCTTCATGTCTTGCACCAAGCTGTGATTTGACATTTTTGTTGTTTCATGATCTCCCAATTACTTTGCGGCCATTTTTGGGCCATATCTTATGAGAAAAAGGACTTTTCTTAAATTGGCCTAGGGAGTAATGAAAAATTTTGAAAAAAAAATGAAATTTTTTACTGGCCGTTTCAGCAGTATGCAGGTGGTGGACAGAAATCTGGGATGTTCGTTCTTATTAGATAGGACTCCTAGCCTAGCAATAGCATCTTTTCCTTTTGCCTATTTAAACTTGTTGGTGTTCGACTTAAACAGCTACAGTGTTGAAAGTTGCATGTATACATGTACATCATTATCAGACGGGTGTGATGTCATATTTTATAGGCCTATCTGCTAACATACTAAACCATGTTATAATTAATTTAAATGTCATGCTTGGTCCAATCATAGTCAACACCGTCCATGCCGATTCTGTACTCCCAACTTCCATGTACACCGATGTAAGTTGAATGTAAAGCCCAAGGTTTAGGCCTAGGCTAGATCAATTCTTCCCGAAATGTTTTGACATAATCAGATAATAAAATAGGTTAGGAAAAGGCCTATCTCCTGAAAAAAATTTCTTAGGTATGAAAACATCTAATAATCACACGACTCTTACTTGTTGTCATTCTTAACAGCAAATGAAGCGCTGGAATAAGTGAAGCACGCATACTCTTAGTATGGAGGCTGCCATCTTGAAATTGTCCAGTCTAAATCGTTGGTGGCGCGCTTGAACTTACCGTGCGGCGCGGCGCGCGGTTGACGGCACAGCGTCTTTTTTCGGCAGAAGTAAACATCTTCCTCTGAACTCTACGGAAGAAGTCCTAGCTTTCCCTCCTCAATTGGGGAGTCAAGTTGGTGTAGTGTTTATTTCCTCGCCTTCCACTTCTGGGGGTCTGGCTTCAAATCCGGATTGGTCCACATGTGGTTTCGATTTTCAGTCCCTACCCGAGTCTGTGGGTTTTCCCGGAAATCCGAAGTTTTGCTCTGACGTGGTCTTCATTGTCCTCTTCACTAATATTTATCCTGTAATTGACACTAAACACACTGTTGGATGATCAGATATAAATAAATTTGTGGAAAATAGATTTTATTTTTTATTCAGTATGAGACTGAATAAAGGTGTCACCGTTTCCCCTCTTTATTGCTAAAAACTTGGCATCTCTGCACAGACCCAGGGTCTTTCGTGTGTTCCACACCGTCAGAAATGGGCTCAACTTTTTCCTGAGGCCTGTCATTAAATTATCATAAAACCAATAACCATTACAAAATGCCATTGATAGAAAATACGCACATTACACATCAATTAACTTTTTTCATTGCTATTTCTTTAATGTCATTATACATGTACACAAGACGACAAGCAGTCCTCAACAGTCACCTTCGGCAGGCTTGCATAATGCAGCAAGGTGCGACAGATGTACATATCTGTGGGACCTTGTTGCCTCGCCTAGGGTGCAACAGTCAACAGCAGCAACAAACCTGCTAATCCACTCTCACACAACCACCTCCTCACTGATGACTAACGCAGAGGTTGAGACGATGTATATCATGACATGTATATATGTATATTTTTCTAATATCAATATTTATTTCAAAAGCCATTTTGTCTGGAGAAACAGGCCTCTGGGTCTCAGTGTTTAGTACGCTTCTGTTTGTCCAGGCCGACTTGGATGGCTTTTGTTTGTCTATCTGCTTGTTTGTTTTGCTTCCCATCATCTGCCCTGCCCTGTTTGTCCTGTTTTAGACTGCTACAATTTATCTCTTGTGTACCTTTTTATTTATGTTCTCTGCTATTTTGCATAACAATGTTCAGGTCGAATAAACAATAATAACAATCAAATGCCAGTGCAGACACACCATGCACCCATTCCCCCCCCCCAAACTTGCCACACCGCTGTTGTAGTTTGAACCCCTTCGGACCACAACATGACCCAACAAGACAACACACCTGTCTGAACTGAAGTCGAGACCACTTAAGACCTTCATGAGACCAACAGAAGACCTCCAGTCTGAATTCAAGTCACAAGCTGTTCAAACAAACTGCATCAAAAACATTCAATTATCATTTGACATTTCACTCTGTGACTTGGGACTGGTCTTCATATTGGTTTTTGGTTTGGTCTTGTGATGGTCTCCACAGCAGCACCGTGACACACGTGTCATAAAGCACGTGGAAGAGTTGATTCTCAACGGGAAATTTTTGCGCAGTTAAAAAAAAATTGATCTCCCCTTCATGCATGGAGACCACTCTAAGAAAATGGGAGCTAGTCCCATCGAAGGATGTCACTGTTGGACAGTTGGATCCTGTGGCAGCTGGCGGGCTGGACACTTGAAATGCTAAATCTCATCGTGCTGGATTAATAACCAACTCGCTGTTGGGTGTCGGGATTGAAATATCTTTGCCGTCACCTAGGCAAGGCACTGGCCTCATGGCCATGTTGAACTGTCCACGACATTCCAGAAGCTTTGGATGAACCTGGCCAAGAAAATCTCAGGAAGTCCACCTCAATATCCACCTGTCAACAATTTGACACAGAAACAATTAAACTGCAAAAAAAAAGGGGGAAAAACTTATTTAAAAGCATGACACATGCTTTTACCAAGTGTAATTCAATTAATCTGAATACTTTGTCACATCCACACCAAAAAGTGGACAAATTTAAGTGTCTTGATCGGGTATGGACACTTACTGATTTTTGCTTGTGAAACCTGTAGCTTGCCGGCAAATCAAATCGCAATTCTGCAAGGCAGAAAAAAGAAAAAAAACACCAATGGAATTATGCGCATGATTTCATTGCAATGCACCGAACAAGAAATGTTGGATTTTCAATCTGAGGCTTATCCCGGGGAAATGATCCCATCAGGAATGAAACCAATACAGGAGGAAACGGAGAGAAAGGACTTACCTGCAACGACTTCCATATGCGTGCCCCATTCCTTGGCTTTCTTCTCAATATACTGTTACATACAACAGGACAAAACACTACAAGTATATAACTGTTTAGTTTGTAATTTAAACGCTCCCAATTTGATGAAGCCTTCAAACAGGAAGGAGTTTTGAAACGAGGCCTTTAACACAGGACCTTAAAGGGTAACAGAAATAGAAAACATTTAGTTCACGGGAAGTATTTTCAAATAATAATAATTACATAACCATTTCAAAAACATCATAAATTTAATGTTTACCCCATTAATTGGGGCCCCATTAATGAATAAAAAGATCCTGTATTTCCCCGCCCACAGAAAATTCTCTTTTGGCCGCTCGAGCTCCCGGGCTGATTTGATGACGTCATTGCCATTGCACAAATTTGGAACATTAAAGCTCATGTGATGTTATGAGAGGTGAGATCAGTGCTGAAGTCATCAGGCTCACAAATGGGGTTAAATTTGGAGCTTGGACTGTCCAACTTCTGTTTGCCTTTGCAGTGGTCCATTCTAAATGGATCACCTACCTCTCGTGTGGATGTTTTGTGGAGAGAATAAACTGCAGTGCTCGCCATGTCTAGAGCTTTTCTTAGGAACACCATGTCGGTGCCTGAAAAACACAAACACAATTGATAATCAAGGACTACTATGATGTGGCTATATGTTTAGAGGTCAAGTGTCAAAAGTTCAAAGGTCATGCTAATTAGTCAAAAGTTTGTTGACCCATATCTCACAAACAAACCCATCAAATTACAAATAATTCAGGCCTGTGTTTTCTCATATACACTGGAGCTCACCCATCGCATTAATTAAAGGGTCAGGTAAATAATCATGTTGAAATGATACAGAGTGACCCCAAAACAGAGATAAACAAGATAGAAATGTGACTGCTTCAGTGTCAAAGGCGGATGCAGGGCAGGACGTGGGGGACACAAATCCCCTCTTTTTCACCAAAAAATAAATTTAAAAAATGTAAAAAGAAGAAAAAGAGGGAGGGTGAAAACAAAGGGGTCATAGAGCCTAAAATTGCACCTCAGGGCACCCAAAATCACAAAATGCCCCGAACCCCAAACCGTAAGGGCATTTTACTATTGCTGCTTTCCTTCACGCCCCCCTTTTGGAAAATCCAGAATCGCGTCCCCCCTTTTGCATCCTGGATCCACCCCTAAGTGTAGGAGAGGTTCTGGCCCAATCGCAATTCCAGTGCTGGTCAACTGCTTCTTATAAAGGCGCATGTGCAATGAAGTCCCGTTCAAACAAACCCTGTCAAACTGTTTTGGCGAAATCTCACCTCTCTCACAATCTACTGTTGATGGCATCTCTCATTACGTTCACAGTCTATTTCATCTTATTCTCATGCTGATGGTTCCCTCCATGTTTAATTATGAAAAAGGCTATTGATAACCAGTAATGCAACCATGCCCCCGGGCCTGGCTCCAAATGGTTCACTAGATGGTCCAACTATCCATCGTTTGGGTGATGTTAGTCAGACTACGGTTAACCACTGTCCTCGCTTGAACTCGTCCGTGGGTGTTTTGATGGTGCAGGGCAAATTAATAGAGGCCAAATCTTCAGGTTGCCTTGTTTATAGAGGCTTTGCATGGTAGCCATCTTGCAGGGCAGTTCTTTAGTTCCACAGGGAAACCTCCTTTGTGCATACCCTGTGGAACAAAAGCACCGGCCTGCAAGATGGCAGCCATTCAAACCCTCTAATGGTGACGAATCTCTTCCCTCACCTTTGTTGTGCTTGGTTCCAAATGGTGGATTCATGATGACTGTGTCAAATATTTTGGCCCAGCGCCCGGACTCCAGCGAGGTCAGGTCACACTGCATGAGGTCGACGTTTGACCCCAGGTCAAACTCTTCTACATTCTGTGCGCAGATGTCCAGGGCATCCCCGTCAACGTCAAAGCCGATGACCAGGCTGAATGTATTGAAATGATATCAAACATTTGATTATTGGTACAAGTAAGAGACTGATGACACCACATGCCATTTCTTGAGGGTGGCGCAGGTGGACAGTGCATAAAGAACTTGCCTCTCATCATTGTGGACCTGGGTTCGATTCCAAGCCTGGGACATTACATCCATGTGAGTAGGGTTGTTCATGGTTCTCTTCTGTGGCACAAGGGTTTTTCTCTGGGCTCTCCGTTTTTCATCCCTCCACAAAACTCAACACTTACAATCTCCTGAACAGATGTGGAATGTTTGGCAGCTGCCTGAGGCAGTAAATGTAAATAGGGCCATGCTTGAAATGGACTTCCAGAGCTATGGCTATATCTGCTGTCAGCAGGTGTCTCAATGCAACTGGCAAAGCCCTAGCTCCAGACACACGATTCAGACATGGCTTTTGTGCTTATGAGTGCACGGACATACCCTGCTTGCAGCATGGCAGCCCCTATGCTCAGCACGCCGCAACCGCAGCCCAGATCAGCGATGAGTTTACCCTGGAGGTCACCGTATCGAGCATCCATTGTGTGCAGCATGCATGCTGTCAGAAAGATGGCAAAAGGAAAGGCTTTGGATCTATTGAATGATAGAACAATATTGGACCCAAATCCATCATTCTAGGCCATTCCAAGAAAGCTTGGTAATTGATTAGAATACAAAATAATGCTGACCGCTTCAAGATATCCAGTTAAGCTTGATGAAGGATTCTTTTGCCCATGAGAATGCTTGATGGATCATTAACCCTAACCCTCCTCAGTCCTCCAACAGGTGAAGGATTAACCCTAACACTCCTCAATCCTTCACCTGTTGGAGGATTGAGGAGTGTTAGGGTTAAGAGAGGCTACTTTTACTATATTACAAGTTAAGGCAGGAATTTCTATCATCAAACTGAAGCAATTGATTCTGGGAAACTCAAATTGATTGCAAATGCATCACTGAAAGAGTTACCTAACTTACCATCACATTTTTGAGCTTTCACTTGAGGAAAAATATTTTGGCCTAACTCCAATGAATCCTTACAAGTCCATGCATGACAAGTCATCCTGTCATGCATTCTCACATGAACTGTGACAAATTCTTGTCATGTGATCTTGCAACTTGTCATGTGACTTGACTTGTAAAATCGACTGATGGAAGCATTGAGCTCTCCATAGGATACCTGCAATATGAGGCCTGGTCGGGTACTGCTCCAGGAGAATCTTGGGCTTCTCAAACACGTCTACCTGCTGTAAGTGGCTCTCTAGCTGCTTTAGCTTCATTTGGATGATGGTGTTGTTTCATGTCATGGGCATGATGGGACAGCTGTCAAAAGCAAAGGGCCTGTTAACATCAATCGAGAATTTGGGATGATTTTACTTGAATACACCACCTGTACAAAGTTTTTTTTAAAAAATGAAGAAGTCCTCAATAGGCCCACTGTTCTCTGCAGAAACAGCTACTGCCATGGCAGAATTAGTGATTTTAGGGGGAGTGAGGCACACTACACTATGTCCACACAGAGTGTGTGAGGCACAGTTCAGTTCTAAGAAGGAGAGATTCACCCATGCATGGAGCTATTATATTAAAAAGGACCATGATTCACCATGGAGGAAGGAACACACTCGGTGCCCAGCATGAATCATGATAAATTGGGGCATTAAAGTAAAATCTTCCGGAGGATTTTATATAAAACATCATATCACAAAAACAGACGTGCCATGAGGGACTCTAGAATCAAGATCCACCGTACCTGCAGAGCAGCGCTATTTAGTGTTTTTTTTTTTTAATAATTAGGCCTTCAGTCTTATGTTGCGTTAGTAAAATTGAAAACCGCTGAAAATATTAAAGAATACATGCCCCACAAGGAGTTTATTATTTACGCAGACGTTGTGCGTATCGGGAATCGACTGCCTCACCTTTTAAAGAATACGTTTTAGGAACTGCCGATCCTCTTTGTTCGCAGCTCTGCACAAAATGGCGACTGCTGCACCGGATTCTGGCTCGGCAAACGCGGAATTGGTGAGCCAGCGCCGGGCGTCGGCCACACAGATCAATCCAGGTGAGATCAGCCGGCCGATGAACCTCCAGAGGATCGCTCAGAGGAAAACACAGGTCCGGAATTATCCGAAGACCAAGAAGCTGGAGAAACTGGGCGTGTACTCAAGTTGCAAGGTTTGCTTGATTTGTTCGGAGTGCCGTGTATTTAATTCCACTATTGTGCTCCAAGATTGAGTGCGGCGAAGTTTTATTTGATAACGATCAGACGCCTATTTCCGACAGCCCGCACAGTGCTTCAGTAAACATAACATGTGATCCAGATCCACGTGAAACAAACAGGCCCACGGGCTTAGCATAGGGCTGGGGGCCTAAGCCGTGTGAACATTAACACTTGCATGAAATTTAAAAAGGCAGTAGGCCCTAACGTTATATTTAATTGTGAACATGGTGAACTTGTGTCCACTTGTAAGTTGCCATTTTAAAGGTGCCCACCAAACTGATCATTCTAATCTAAACATGGGCAATAAGCATTTTTTTTTCAAATTTTTTGACTTGAAAATTTTTACTCAATGATTTTTTGTTCCATAATTACATACATGTACAGTGCATTTTACGCATAAGTGTATAATAACTGTACACAATCTAGGCCCAAAACAAAACGTTGAAACGATTAGTCAACCACTATTTGCATGTAAATCCTACAGAATCAATCAAACCTTCCATTGGATTATGAAGGATCTGGGAGCAATGCAATGAGGTACAGTTTGATAGATTACCTGTACTCTCTTTTTGTCTAGCAGGCTGATGACTCTTGCAAATGTAATGGATGGAAGAACCCGAATCCACCGCCGACACCCACGCAGCCCAGCCGCCTGGACATAGCCACTCCCCTTGCCAGTTTGTCGGACCCTTGCAGGAGTTGCAATCACCAGCTAGGTGAGTTACCACGGCAACGGGTGAAAGGCATACAGCGATCTGAGAACCCATCTCAGGGTTCAGCTTCAACCCATGTGCAAGGATCATGTTCTTACATTTAGAAATGAATGAAAATGCTACACGCTTTGGACTCATGTGAGGGCTTTGTTTTTCATGTGTCTGTTGTGGAAAATTGGGCCATTTCTTTGAGCCATTGGTCGTGAATCCAGAAAAAACTCGTATATAGGTAACCAGAGGCCTTCAGCGAGGGACATTATCAGTGCCTGGTATCCTGATTAGGGCCTAATTTTATGGCGCTGTTTGCCGTTCAGCAAATTTTTTTAAACTTTAGCACAAACATTTGCTCAAGGGTAAGCACATCTCATGGTGAACATTTCACAGGTTGTTGCACTTAGTTAATTCAGTATGCACTGTGATGGACAAGGACGTGTCTATGATATCTGGTACATGTAACTGGCCTGTTTAATCACTGAAGTTGGCTTTTCCAGAAATGTGCCCGTCGTGTTTTGGGGTTGCATGTTAGCACTTTCTTGGGTCCTGAAATGACCGCTAATTGGAGTTCCATACTTCGCTGTCGAGTACACCCTTGACAATGTTACAGAATGCTTGCTCTATTTTTTTACAAGATATCCTTGTTCCATGGCTTTATATGATATGCTTTGTTTCTGTTGAGCAGCTGCCCACGTGTCCCATCTGGAGAATGTTCCAGATGAAGAGATCAACCGCTTGTTAGGCATCGTCGTAGATGTGGAGAACCTCTTCCTCTGCGTTCACAAAGAAGAGGATGCAGACACCAAGCAGGTCTACTTCTATCTCTTCAAAGTGAGCATCGTCCTCTCTAGGATATTTCCCCAAAGATTTACTCTCTAGAGTGCTCTCTCGTGTATATATGGCTGCGTTCGCGTGTTACGCTCGTTACCGGGGGGGGAGGGCTACGGGGAAATGCTGTGTGAGCATTCCTCTTGGATCACATCATGGCAACAGAAAATGCTTACCTTTCTTAACACGAAAGACCACATGATGCGCGAGTATCCTCTGAGTCTTGCCGCGAACATACCCACAGGTCACACCCCTGTTGGTTGTGCATTCAGGAGTATACTTGTGTTATTATGAGTAACTCACTCACATTGCTATCTCAAGATTTTTAACAAAGAGTCACAGAGCATCCAGTACACTGACCTTCTTGCCTTCCTGGTACATGGTGTAAGACCTGGAAAACTGATTGCTAAAAACTATGTGATACCTATCTGTATTCTTGATGCCACCAGCTCCTGAGGAAATGCATCCTTCAGATGAGCAAACCGTCAGTGGAAGGCCCTCTGGGCAGCCCGCCGTTTGAGAAACCAAGCATTAATAAGGTACAGAAATGTGGACTACTTTAGAAATATATGAATCATTCAAAGTCTGCCCCACAGACATTTTGCAGCAGTGCCCTCTCACAGGAAGTTAATCTCCATGTAACAGTCCATTTTTTGCCATTTGACTAGTGAACTTGCAAAGACACTTGTGCACATTCTCACGAAAATTGCCTCTATATGTTTCAGAGTAGGTTTTTGGACTTTAGGCATATCAGTCTCCTGTTTACAACTTCAGGGAAACCTTGAATCCAAACCACACCAAACCATCAAAGCCAACATTATCTCCCCAAAACAGAAGCAATTTACATAGCGTATTCAGAAGGGACTTGGCAAGAATAATTTATAGTTGTCGCACCGCACCAGGGCGTCACCAACTTTGTTGTCTACAAGTTTGGCCACCTGCCCCAGAAGGACTGGCAGACCATGTATGACCTGGCCAAGATGTTCCTGCACTGCCTGAACCACTGGAAGCTGGAGACGCCCACTGTCCGAAAGCAGCGGGCTCAGACGGACGATGTGGCCGCGTACAAAGTCAACTACACCAGGTGGGGAAGAACAGCTTAATTAGGGTCAAATGACATCAAAAATATTGCTTGCCTGTTTGATGCACTAAGCAGAAACCAGCTGAGAACCAGCCGTGACTTTGGCCGATAATCAACTTTTGCTGAGCAACAGGTTTATGCGCTCTGGGCACTCTAGGCCCTTTTAATCATGCCCTACTTTGTCGTACAAATGTATGCAATACCTCAGTCCAGAATAAAATTGTACCAAAAGTGACTGATCTCAATCCGAATCTGTTAATCCTTCAAAAGATGTTCCAGTGTGTTTTGCCCGTTGGTGTAATGGTTTGGTAACATATTGAATTGGGTTTCCTTCTATCAGGAACAGCAGCATTTAAGAGCCTGTTTGTTTCACACGGATCCAAATCTCAATCAGTCATTCGTCACTGGTTCACCGACTCCAGAACCCACCTAATGGATGGTGTGAACCAGCATTGGGATTACTGATTGAGATCCAGATCCATGTGAAAGAAACAGATCCTAAGAGATCAGAACTTTCATGTCTGAGAAAGAAGACTGCTTTGTGTTTATTGCTATCGTCTGTTTGCTTGATGAACTACATTATTGCGCGGCCATTAATGTGGTCCGTACCTACTGGATAGAACAATGTTCTATCAACTGGTGATTATCAAGTAGTCGCCGTGAATGTGATCGACCCTCACCATCAGACGATGGGAATTTATTCAAGCGTAGTATAAAATTAAACGTCCATTATTTTGGGGGGCTCAAGGTACAACACTAGTACTCCTGCTTCTTAGCTTTTGAGTCCATTCCGGAAACCTCATCTTCTCTTCGGGACGTTTAACATTATTTCCTTGCGGTCACTTGCGGTCACTTCCGCCCCTCGTTGTTGATTGCATTGCTTACTTGCGTCACTGCCTCAGGTGGTTGTGCTACTGCCACGTGCCGACGTTCTGCGACAGCCTGCCCCGCTACGAGACCACCCATATCTTTGGCCGCTCACTCCTGCGGTCAGTCTTCACTGTGATGCGGCGGCAGCTACTGGACAAGTTTCGGGCTGAAAAGGACAAGATGCCCCCCGAGAAGCGTACCCTGGTGCTGACTCACTTTCCAAGGTTAGTTTTCAAGAGAGCTAGCCGCAAAATTCTGCGCTTATGATCGCCATTCTGTGCTTACAGTTTTAGCACAGAAACTGTGGGTAAACTTTGTAAGCGTAGAACCCTCAGTGAAGTTTGCTTACCATTCGTGCAGAATAAGCATTAGATTTTTGTGCTGGAGTAAATTATTGTCCATTAGTAAATGAGCTTACATGCGACTGAGCCCACATACATGTAATTTCACCACAAGTTACTTGGATTCAGGAGGTTTTTTTTTACATTTTTGGCATCACTTTGTAGGAAAACGTTTGAACTTTGTAATTTGTTTCAGTATTTAAAAATATCAGTGGACATCCATTCTGCGGTAAAGCATGCTTACAGTGCTGATAATAAGAAGCACTCCGGCTGTGAAGTAATAAAGTTTGCATTTTGTTGGCCATGGAAAGGTTGGACAGGCACTTGGGACATTGACCAGAAACCTTCACCCTTGTCTTATGAATGTCATACCTCATCTCTGTGTTTGTGCATGTCCAGGTTTTTGTCCATGTTGGAAGAGGAGGTCTACGGCCCAAATTCACCGATCTGGGACCCCGACTTCTCCCCTATGCCTGGCAGTATGCCTCTCCCAGCCACCTCCCCGACACCCGACAACGGTAGGTTGACGCTTCTGACACCTTTTGCTTTGGAGAGCGTGAATGCTTTTGTGGGGTTTTTCTCTCTTTTTTTTTTCAGCCTTCAGCCTTGTTGCTAGAGTAACGTGATTCTAACAAGGTGTCGAAGATCAGAGGTGATCCTGGTCGCATACATGCTCAAGTTGTATCTTAAAAAATATAAATGTTTTGAGCATGCCCATCAGAACGATAGGGTCAAATTTGTATGCTTTGCTAACTATTACGAGTCTGTGCTAATATATAGCATTTTTAAGTAGTTAAGATTTTTGGTCAGCGCATATAGCGTCCATCTCATGTTACTGTAAGGACCCTGGAGTTAAGATTGGAAAACATCTGTTTCAAACTTGTTGGGGGGGTGGTACCTCCTTTCACAGCGAGTCCCACAGCAGTTGCAAATACAACGTCCACTGGTGCGATAGCTGCAGGACGCACTACGACAGCAACCACAGCCTCATCCACCGACAGCAGTACCTCGTTCAACCTCAGTCCCGGCCTGGTCAGTAGCAAGAAGACAGGGAAGAATGGAGATACGGAGGACGCAGCTACGGACAAAGGTACCGACAAGACAATTGGTCAAAACTGAGGCTTTACTGTGTGCTTGCATACCACTCACTCACTCTAGACCTTGCAGATCCTGAAAAATCTAGGAGGGCAGATGCTGTTACTTTGCACGGGGCGTTGTTGTAGCTGAGATCACTTAAGACCATCACAAAACCCCACAAGACCAACAAAAGATCTCTGGTGTGAATTCAAGTCACAAGCTATTCAAATGAATTGCATCAAAAGCATTCCTTTGTCATTGTTTGCCCCATTACGAGCAACTGGTCGGATGACGGTCTTGACTGTAACACAGACATGGGGTTTTAATATGCACCATGCAAGTCAAAACCGTTTATGTGATAGGATTTTTTTAAATCAAAGGTTGGTCAAGTCGTCATCCTGTTCATTTGTCCTAAATAAATATAGTTATGCAGGAACTCTGCAGTTGTGGCTTGGTAGTCCGGACCTCATCTATCTAAGCCTGAGAACTTTTGTGCATTCTTATCAAATTTTTTTCATTTTAGGGTCAGAGAAAAGAAAGTCAGATGACTCAGAGACAATCGAAGATGCGAAAAGGCAGAGACTTCTAGAAGGTAAAGAAAGTCAACTTCATGATATTTTCAGAATGTTGTTGTCTGTGAGACAATAAAACGTACACAAATAAAATGAAAGTAAATGAATGCATTCACTCTTACTTGGCTGAACTTTAAGAGGTTTGTAGGTTAAGAGTTGAAGTTGTAATCAAGAGAAGAAAATATCTGGAAATTAAATACAATGTACTACACAATTTGATGTTATTAATTTTTTTAGGAGCGTTTTTGATATAATAAACTTATTTGTTCATAGTTTTTAACAAAGGGAAAGTGCAAGCTTGTGTTCTTTTCGTCACTTGTTCAAATTTCCTTTTGTGCAGTTCTCATCAAAAAGTTGTTTTCTGTCACATAAATTTGAAAGTTTTGTGAACATTTCGCCCATAGATGATATTCCAATGAAGGTTGTGAGCGAGGTGCTGTCAACAATCACCGATCCTGCTGCCATGGTGGGCCCAGAGGTATGCCAAAGATTTTTCCAATTTTATTTTGAAAAGGGACCAAAGACGAGCTGCACTTGTCCATGTTTACAGCTGAAGTGTTCAAATCAAATTCTCTTGAGCTTGGTGTGTCTGTGAGCTGTTTCAACAAGTAAGGCTATGAAACAGACAAGTAACACACTTGCTTGTTTTCGTATCGCTGATGAAACATTGTGGGCCAGTTTATCGTGAGTTCTCATACCAAATGCGCCAACTTTCTGTCGAGGCAACTTGGTCCCAATGTAAGCCCTGGAGAGCTGTTGACCGAAGAACATGGCAGACACTGCACGCAAGTGTCTGTTTCCAGCATTCGGAAATAAAATCATCATCTCATTGGCTGAATATATATACGTAATTAACATACAGACTGTGTTTGATTTATACACACCACAGAGTAGCCTGTTCTCGGCACACGCTGCCCGCGATGAGGCAGCACGTAACGAGGAGCGTCGGGGTGTCATCGAGTTCCACGTCATCGGCAACTCCATCACGCGCAAGCCATCGCGTCAGACGCTCATCTGGCTGATCGGTTTGCAGAATGTGTTTTCCCACCAGCTCCCCAGAATGCCTAAGGAATACATCACCAGGTATGAGCAGAACTCGTTGACTCTATCAAGCCCAACTCTGTTGGCCAATTCCCCAAAATAACTCTCTCAAAATGTACCCAGAATCAAACTCCAATTTGTTTTTGCTCGTAGAAATTGTTTATGCAAGGTTAATTATATAAACATTGAATCAAATGACACTATGAAATGGATTAATTTGTTGCGAAACCGTAATTGCCGAGTATGTTGTCCACTTGCATCTTTCAATTTGTGCCTAGCTTTGTTCTAATTTTGTGTTTACCTTCATCTGTGGAAACTTTGTGGGAGGCATGTGGCCTAGTAATTAGGGTTTGTAGCTTCTGATCATCGGGTCAGGGGTTTGAATCCAACTGGTGGCAGCAAGTTGTGATCTTGAGCAAGTCACTTAACCCCTGTGTGCCTCTCTTTACCCAGGAGTAAATTGGTACCTGTGAGGGCAGACACGGGTATGTTTAATGTTTGGCCATTTGCACTGAAATGGCAGCACCGGGCTAGTGTACTCCCCAAGGAGCTAAGATGGTTTTAGGAATGTTTAGATGATGTGTGAGCCCAATGTGCAGAGATAATGATATTACAGCGCCTCGGAATAGTTTACTCGATAGATGGCACTTTACAAATGGTTTTTATTATTATTTATTAACTATAATGTACATGGAATGGTTGAGATATTTGGTTGAAGTAATTGGCTACCTTCTTGCATCCTCTGGAAGGAAGCCTCAAAGTTCACGCAGCAGTTTTGTTGACTAGTTCAGTATAGAGGGTGAATAGATGCGGGAAGAATGCAAAATGAAACAGGAGGTAAGTGGAAGGGTTACTCAGAGTTTACCTTGAGGTTTTATGAGATTTCAGAGGTTTCGCGGAGTACCTCTTGTTTAATGGGCTGATCAGTTGATTGATTTGATTTGATGGATTTGATTTTAATGGATTTGATGAACCCAATCATGCTTGTGCCCCTGCTTAACAGACTGGTGTTTGATACCAAGCACAAGACGTTGGCCCTCGTCAAGGACGGCCGGGTCATCGGTGGCATCTGCTTCCGCATGTTCCCCACCCAGGGCTTCACCGAGATCGTCTTCTGCGCCGTGACCTCCAACGAGCAGGTCAAAGGTTATGGCACCCACCTCATGAACCACCTCAAGGACTACCACATCAAGCATGGCCTGCTGCACTTTCTGACCTTTGCCGATGAGTACGCCATTGGATACTTCAAGAAACAGGCAAGACACTTCACCACAGTTTCTTCTGTCCACCGGGGTGTATAAAAATGGATACATATGAGGGTGAAGATCAAGTGATGCTAATTTCAAGCTGTTGCAGAAAAACTGGTCTGTTGGTCGTGAGCGTGGGTGATAAAGTGCAATCCAAGCGCTTAATATTATCGATGGTTCTTCCTAAAGACTTCCAGAATTTTTAAGAACCTTCTGTGTTGTTGAGTCCCGTTCAAAGTTTTCCCGCATGCACTTTTCGTGACAGGGCTTCTCCAAGGAGATCAAGCTGCCCAAGTCAGCCTACGTGGGCTACATCAAGGACTACGAGGGCGCCACGCTGATGGGCTGCCAGCTCAACCCCCGCATCCCCCACACCGAGTTCTCCCAGATCATCAGGCGGCAGAAGGAGGCAAGGCCATCAAAGAAAAATCAACTAGTTTCTTGTAATTGGCAAATTCATTCAGGAAGTGGTTTTCTTTCTGCCTGAACATAATAACCACGATCTGAATATTGTATACATTTTGGAAAGAAGAGGTGCATTGGTTTGTTAATTGTAAGAGGCAAGGTCGAGATTTGTTAGGATTTTTCCTGAGTTCAGGATTTTTTCATCAGATTTGACTAATTCCGATATTTTTCAAACAATCGCTTTCAAAATCTGGAACATCCAGAGTTTACCATTAAGGTGTTTGTAACATGAAAATTGATAGAGCACACAAGAAATGGATACTTTAAGGGGTGTCTTCAGGCAAACATAAATGTATACCATAGGCCCTATGGTTTTGTGGGGCACTTAAAACCATTGGTAGTTATTTCATGGACATTTCATTTTCTGCCAATCTCAGCCCTTAGAGGGGGGCATTATTTCCAGTTAGGGTCCTGATTTGACAGACTAGACTGGAACAAAAATTTATCAGTTCTAAAAAGGCTGCATCCAAATCTGTTTTTGGAGGGTGCTTAAAAAAATTTTATTCAAAATTGTACCAAAAAAATTGCTAAGAAACTATCAAAACCACTGTAAATATATTCAGTCCTTTTATCCAGCTTGTCTTTTTAACATGTTTACTGTGTCTTACCTGTGGAAACACCAACAGTTGTTAAAAATTTGTTTGAAAATTGCGGCCACCGAGAAAATTAAAAAAAGCCCCAAGCCCTACTTTATTAAAAAACCCTGGCGATAAAAATGTGAAAATCTTACTTGGCCTAACCACTCTGGATACTGTTTATGTTTTTTTAGATTGTCAAGAAGCTGATAGAACGGAAACAAGAGGAGGTACGTAAGGTGTACCCGGGGCTGACCTGCTTCAAGGAAGGAGTGAGGCAGATACCCTTGGAGAGCATCCCTGGCCTCGGTAAGCCAGCCTCAATACCTTAACATCCAGAGGCAGATTTGAGCAGGCTTGCTTAGCAGATAATTTTTCTAAGCTGGTGTGTGTGCCTCAGAAAAGACAGCCAGGAATCAAGCACAAGAAAAACCTTTCTCTTTTCAGTTGAGGCAGGCTGGAGGCCTCCCAAGGAGAAACCGCCGCCCACCAAGCTGTCCAACATGAGCGAAGAGCAAGTGCTCCAGCTGTTCAAGACAGTACTGACTGCGACCAAGGTAAGATGAGACACCTAAACAAGGGTGGATCCAGAACCAAATTTCGGGGGGGGGAGAGGTTTTTGAATATTTTTTTATATGCAACCTTTTATGGCCTTTCTGAGGGGCAAGGCTACATTTTAGGTTGTTTTTTTTTCACAAACTTTTTGAAGGAGGGGAAATGAAAGACACATTGTGAAAAATTTCAGTTTCTGGAGTTTCTCAGATTTTTGGGTCACATATTTTGGTTGGGAGAATTACGATCAGTTTGTTTTGCGGAGTTGTAGATTTACCTTTGCGGAATGGGTTTATTTATCCTGAAAAATGGATAAGCAAGTTTTGAGGTCACAAAGCAGTAATTCTTTTATGGATTGATATCAGGACCCGATTTCATGGCGCTGCTTACCGCAGAATTCCGCGCTTACGGTCTCCCATTTTGTACCAACCCTTTAAGCACAGAATCCTTAGTTGCAGGATGTACGCATGCACACCAGCCAAAATTCCTCGCTTACCTGTGAAATACGTTCAGCGTAAGCGCAGAATTTTCTGCTGTGGTAAGTGCCGATTTTTCGCTAGCGGTAAGCAGCGCCGTGAAATCTGATGAGCCCTTTGCATGGGATCCCCGCCAGGGATAAACAATACACGTAGACTTTATTTGTAAATTAGTTACAGGATTTGACTTCTTGCAATCTTGTCCAAGTTGTTTCACGACAGATTACCTTTTATTGATCTGCTGTTCATGTATTCCTGAGAGACAGTTTTTGTGGATCTAGGAATGAACTCAAGCCTACCGTCGGTGGTAAGAATGCTTGCCTGTAGAAATTGTGCTCGCTGAATATTGATGACTGCATTATTTTTCTGTTATGGTAGAACCACACCAGTGCTTGGCCCTTCCTGAAGCCCGTGGAGGTCATTGAGGCACCAGACTACTACGATCACATCAAGTATCCAATGGGTGAGTTTCTGTCGAAGGGTTGCATTGTGGGTAGATCCCTGTCAGCACGGTTGCTATGAAGACAGTAAGGAGGTATTGGAAGGCCGTCACGTGATGCTGCGAGGTGGTGATGGCGATCGAATCTACTGGGGATAGTTGTGCAGTGGCTAGAAATAACCCCTGGGCTTACTGGCTAGTGGCTGCGGCTACCTCTCATAGATGCACGTGTTGCTCCCAGCCGCTGCTGGTTGGTTTTGGATGTGGCTGGCCAGAGCAGCTAAGGACAATATGCATAAACAAATGCAATAACTTTGCATAAGCAGAACGCATCCGAGGGTCAATGCACAGAAAAAGTGGTCACTCACAGTGCACTACATTAATGCGTTAATACGTCTCCCGTGGGAGAAATACTGGAAAGTTGAAGCTTACCTCCTTCCAATTGCCCTGAAGTATTTATCATTTGTCATCGAGCGCCATGGCCTGAATTGCAAAGACCTATTTTGCATGGTCATTAATCATGGATTAAGTTCATCAAGTTGACAGGAAATAGTGGAAGATTTTCATCTCTAAAATGTTATCAACAGCGTAAATAATACGTGACCCTTTCACTTGTAATGTTGACTGCTTATTGCAGTTGTTAAACTTTTCCCCCCCCTAAATTTTTGATTTGAGACTTTGCTGATTGCCGTCATTTTTCCCTTTTGATTTAGATTTGAAGACCATGACAGAGAGGTTGAAGAACAAGTACTACTGCTCCAAGAAACTATTTATAGCTGACATGCAGCGGATCTTCAGCAATTGCCGGGCGTACAACGCGGCCGACACAGAATACGTCAAGTGCGCCAACACGCTTGAACGCTTTTTCTTCAACAAGATCCGAGAATATGGGATCATAGAGAAGTGAAAACAATCATCCAGGATGTTGTTTTTTGGCCAAGGGGGCAGTCTTGAAATGGTCTGCACCCAGTACTCCAATTATTTTGTGAAGAAAATCGTCCACTTTGACGGTATTTCATATTCAAATTAGCTGTTGGGAAGCTCCGGGTATTTATTTATTCCTGGTACCGGGCCAGGGAGACTTCAGCTTCTCTGGGTTTGTTAGGCGGGAATCATTCCAGGGACAATAATGGAATGTCGGTCTGAGACGTTGGAGGAAAAATCCAGGTGGTATTGAGGGAAGCTCAAAACAGCGAAGTCCGTGTCTGAAATAGGCTTCTCAAGCTACGGCTTCATCAGTGGTCATCATTGATTGGCCCAGGCACACTTGTAACCAGCAGAAACTGTGACCTGGCTCGATACAGGATTCTGGCTCAGTCTGAATACAAGTGCCAACATACAACTCCATCCACAGACTGGAGTGAATACCATCCAGTGCTGAAGCAAAAAACTCTAGCATCGGGAATAGGGGCATTTCATGTAAAGATTCACAAGCCACGTATCAGGACGTTGTTAGTAGAAAGCAAGATTAATTGTCAGATTGGTTGACTTTTTTGACCAAAATAAATAAAATCATTGTGCAAATTGAGCTTTAGGTTTGTTTAATTGGTGTCATGCCGTACAAAATAGAATGGACGGACCAGGAGAGAATTATTTTATCAAAGATGTCCGAAATTACACTCGCGCCTTCCACAACCATATATCCTAAATTTACATGCCTGTTAATTTCCCCGCTTTAAAACTGTGAGAGAAATTAGTTGAGCCAACCGACCCTCTGACTTTAGTGCTGCAATCCATGCTGGGATAGGCATTCCTATTATGTGCAAGCAGTAAAGATGAAAATCATTGGACTGGGTTTATCATTACATTCCCGTCAGGGAGAGACTTGAGGCTGGACTGGAGGCTGACATGTTCGGTAGCTTGTGCAGTGAGGATTCACAAAGCACAGAGTGGTATTTCCGTGGTTCCTGCTCAATGCTTCCGTAATCAGATCAATCTTTTCATGCCATACTCGGCGGCATCATTCAAATTTCCTCAGCAGAATTAGAAATAAACCCAAATTAAAAATGGTGCAGGTACATGAAAACGCCGTGAATTATAAAAATGTTTTCTGGGTGATACCCAAATTAGTATCAAAATCGAAAACACAGGTAAAGTGATCCTGACTTGATAATCAAGTTGAATCATTGAAGGTTTAATGTAGGTCTACTGCACACGGAATCTGAACTTTTAGAATTTAAATAGCGTGTAGGTTATAAAATTACTCCACAGCCAGGGAAACGCTAAAGAACAAGGTTCATCCTACTTCTCGATAAAAGGATTCGAGTGGGAGAAAGTGGAGGGTCTTTTCAACAATAAAAGCTTGGGTACTTACAGAAAGACGTCACAGTGAATGGACAAGTGGTCAACGTCACTGCAATATGTACATTTTATTACGTGTAAAGCGACACTATCAATCTGCCAGGGGCAAGAGAATTCAAGAGCAAAGTCGAGATAGCAAACTCACAAATGCAAAACTAAAATCGGGATGGTGACAAGAGATCACTAAAATACTGAACACTACTTTCCAACAGTATTCAACCATGGTCCTCATAGGCCTATTTCGCCTGAATTCAGTAATGTTTCCAAACCTTGTTTAAATTGATTTTATTCAATTAGGCCCAAACATCGTTCAACAGTAAGACACGTAAGGCGAGAACTCAAAGTGATCGCTAAATGAGGGTAGATACTAATAGTGTCTAAGGTCGAACGGTTGAAAGAAATTTACGAATCAATCGGAACGGACAAGTTCAGTTTGCGAAGGCCTAAGAAAATCCTAGCAACGCCCCTGGTCGTGATCCAAATCAGGTCGACCTGGCGCGCCGCGGCGGCCCGGGTGGCGGGAGCTGAGATGAAGGAAAAACATAACAATCATGTCCTACCAAGCTGCCACGAAACTGTTGCTTATTCTGCAGGGAGGCATTTAATGGTTTATGTACAAGAGCCTAGTTGGTTTATCATTGTTTCAAATAATACTAAGCGAATTATCTCCGTTTTTGAGCAGGTGGCACCAAAAATTCCGCCAACCCGAAGAAAAAGACACGGCCGCTAGTTCAGAGCACGTGCGTCAGTAAACAGCGCCCTCAAAAGTTAGCACATCCGGGCCGCACAGTCGAGCGGAAGTTATGGAGGAAATTGATGCGAAGGTAAACATGGTAAACAAGTGGCGGTTTAATTCTACCCTAGCATCCAAACTTTCCTTTCATGGTCAGCCGTCTCCTTTTCTTACACTGACATTTTTTTTGTTCATTTCGTGGATGACACGAGGAGAAGATTTAAAATCTGCACCGCTTCTGGCACAGAGTTGTACATACATGTAAACTTTGTCTTGTGTTTGACATTGACAGTACTGTCATGAGGCCTAACGTTAGGCTGCAGACTTGACAGAAGTCTTAGATCAGGCATCTTCCCTCCTTAAAGGAAGGGATGATTGAAAAAAATGTGAAGGTTGGTTGAAGTTGAACAGGAGACTCATTATCCCCGNCCCGACGTCCACTCCACGAGTGGAGCGGACGTCGGACCCCACAGTTCTGGAGGTACCCCCACCTACCCCCAAAACTGTGGTCCAGTGTGGGGTTGGAGCGGGGTGGATGTCAGACGCCACACAGTTTGGGGGGGGGATGGAACTCCCCTAAAAATGGGATACATGTACTAGTCATACTAGTAGTAGTAGTAGGCCTAGTGCGGGACAAGGGAAGGGATTTGACTAGGCCATGACTAGGCCTACATGTAGGCCAGCATCATACTGTTACTGGTGTGCATGGCAAGTTTTGGAAACTGTTGTAGCCATTTTCCTTCCTCCGTGTTGTAGCCGACTGAGACCCTAGTAAGAATAAGGATAACAACCTCAAAGGTGATTCTGCTACAACATCCGTGTTTTCATCTGTGTGCAGATTAAGGAGCAGGCAGTTCTGAAGAACGAATTGAAGACATTGAAGAAAGGGCGTGTGAGTACATACATGTAGCATAGAAATTTGAAACACAAGCGAGCTGTAAATACTATTATTACTACAATGAAAGTGTTGCTAGAACAGGTACTGTTTGGTGGCCCGTAACCTAATTTTCTTGTACAGGATAACCGCTCCCCCAAGAAAACTCAAAAGTGACATTTCCTCCCATCACCATAACAATAAATCAGAAATTGGTAATTTGGTATCAAATGAAAGATTAAGATGTTCTCTTTTCAAAACTGAGGACTTCATTCAAATGGTAGTGCCTTAATTGTCGACACACAACGCTTTGTTTTTTGTTGTCTCCGATGGAATTTTATACTGTTTAAATTGCTCATGCAGTCACTGAATTGAAATCTTAAATTATCAGGCAACTGTTTGGGTTCTTCACATTTTTTTCTAAGATCCTTTCCACTGAGCTGTGAACTTGATGAAACATGATGCCTGTGTGTAGACAGATGTACACGTAGATTTGACCATTCGTAAATACTGACAGTACATACATGTATACTGTACATTTATATTCAGAAGGCAATGGTTGTCAATTATTGTGCAGTTTCAGAAAGTTTGTTTTAGAGAAAGCAGCTTCAGCTGAACCTGCGCAGTTATCCTTATCCGAGAAGGTCTCGGCATTTCTTTGTCGAGAGGACATTATTGGGCCACTAATGCCTGTTTGGACAGGTAGCCTACAATTAAGCACTATGGTCAACCCACAGATCAAGCTATGTGGACGGACTCATGTACTGTACATTGTATTATGTACTGTACATGTACATGGTGCAGTGCATTCACCTGTGTATGTACGTGTGCGTGTACTCTGCGTGTCATGTATAACAGGTCATTTGGTTACAGACTGGTCTCGTGCTCAGGGCATGTGCATGTGAGTATGCATAGTGAATATTAGCAAGCAACACATGCAGAATTGATGCACTTTAACAGCCTCGGGGCTAGACCATCGTGAACAGGTGCTGCAACCGTATAGGCCAGATTCGCCCAATGCCTTGGTCAAAGCTAAGTTTACCTGCTGAAGTGTTTAGTTGTTGGTCGGTCGTCTGGAATTTTAACCACTTTGAACTATTTCAGGATCTTGTTTGTTTATTGGTGAAAAATAAAAGAGGTTGTAACATAACAGAACCGTGTCCAGTTCAGTTTCCTCATTTTGCAGGAATTGCCAATGATCGCATACATGTATGTTAAACGGTATTAAAGAGCTTGAACGTGCTATGGTAATTCCATTGTACAGAACATGAAAGCACTTGTCTCATGTAATAGCAATTATCTGCACAAGGCATCATCAAAGTTTAAATGAAGTCTTCCAGTTGGAAAAGATATCATTATAATCTTCAATTTGACACGAAAAATAACAGTCTCTGACATTTATTTTTTGGAGAAAATGATTGTTATTATTGAGTTGCTTTTTTTGGCGGAGATCCACCCTCAATTTTAAATGGTGTGCAGTTAGGTTTCACTAACAATCGGTGAAAAAAATCCCTTGCAGGATTAACCCAGTAAGCTTTGGGTAAACATCTGCAAAACATCCCTGAGGGATTAATTTCATAATTTCATGGTAAAGTCCCATGGCACTTAATGATGGCAGAGTGGTACTTTAATGAAAATTTAACCTGAAAAGAGCTGTAGGCCATTCCTGTCAATTCATTTATTGAAACTCATTCGCCCACAGAGTGTAAAAATATGGGTAACGATTCAAAATTAACCAAAAAATAAAGGAAATGCGACGCATACAAAATTTAAGTTTTC